GGGGGGGGGGGGTAAAAATTTTTGCCTTCGCGGGGGGGGGGGGGGGGGGGGGGGGTTATTAGACAAGTCTTTATACATACATCTCGGTTATCGATTAGGATCAGTGGGTAGCAAGGGTGGGCTGTGGAAATGAGAGCTATGCACATTGTCGGGAACGGTGGAGAACGGTGAAGAACGAATGTAATATGCTCGACGGCTCCCTCAGATACATGTAGCTTCCCTGAAAAGGTTCTTGCAGTGATTCCTTTCCCTTCCCGCTTCCGTCCGAAAGTCTAGTACTATCCGCCGTTAAATATACAAAGGCAGATGAAATTCCAGCAGATATGAACGTTAATTGATTGCCCCAAATGCTGCAAACGGGGCCGTTTGTAGTTGGGTACCGTTGTGCGCTGGCAGATCGCTAGAGGTTGGTATTTATAGATATATTTCGGAGAAGATACTGCCACCCCCAATAGTAACGGGCATTGAATCACAGAGAACCGGTGTCAAGCTGTTATGCGTTGTGAACACGTCGTTTCGGAATGTGCGGTTACAGCCTGGGTGGGATTCTCGTGAGGCTCAACCTTGGATATGTGGCGTTCTCTTGGCCTCTTACGCAGTGGTTGGCCTGCTGAGGCCGAAGGAAACGTAGAAAGGAGTGTCGAATACCAGAAGCACAGAACTTGTGGGGCAGCTTGCAGAAGTGGACGGGCCACAGAGTATATTGAAGCCGGATTGTCTATATCTACCACAGGATGCTGAGGGGAAGCGGATGTTGATGGATGACGTTGATGGCTCTGCCAAGAACAGCGTAATTTGTCTGTTATCTTATCTGATCGCGGGCACAAGCAACCCCGCCGAGGGTGATTTGCTATTTCCCCATCACATCGGGGCGTCGTTGCTGTACAGAACAGGAGATACATATATATATATACAGTGTATAGTGAAAGGACGCTGTACACACACTGAATGAACTGCCTCAGATTTGCCCAACCCACGGAGCCTGGTAGGCGAGAATTTCGCCAAATATGAGAACTAGAGTTACTACTACCCATGTAGCCCTGTACTATGTAGGTGATGTAGCAGCATTCGGATGCACCGATCTGTTGGAATTGGACCCGAGTGAGCGGATTTTGCATACACTATAGCACAAGGATAATGTTCGTCCCACTCCGCTGCTTACCCTGCGAAGGTATCCTTGTAATATATGGGATACGATCCACCATATTTCAAAGCAGAATCGCCCATTTCGTCACTCCTATCAAGCATGTTTTCTGACGGGATGGGCATATTTTCACGGACTCCTTAAGGATAACTAACTCCAATGGCTTTTAAAATTTTCACCACCTTCGACCTGAAATTGATTCAGCAGTTTAAAAAGAGTAAACAAAAAAGGAAAAATACTCCAACTAATAAACCATATCTCTGGTCTACTCTTCTGGTCTGAATGTGTCAGGCCCTATGGCCATGGCCCTTGTGGGCCTCCAAACGCAAGTGAGCACACCTTGCTTTCCATTATCAGCTGATATAAACAAGACGTATTGTGTGAAATCGTTATCTGATCGAACCGTTGCAGTGCTCTTCTCTTAGCCGGAAGCTTGTGGGTCCAAACCCAGGCTACCATGTAAATTAGAAGATTTGGAAATTGTGATTATTTCAAGGCCGTCAGACCGTCGAACATGGAAGCCGAGGGAATTCGGGCACCGGGTGGCGTTGGCTCCATGGACACGGAATGCCTAGACGGTGAGCACGCGAGGTGGGAGGTCGGGAACGGGCAAGGGAAGGACGAAAAGTGGAAGTGTGGCGCGAGAACATGAGCGCTAGACGGATTTTTTCTCGTACGATGCAGCATAAGGCTTACCCGGCTAGTAATCTCGAGAAGGGCGACATGATCGGGGACTTCACAACCCTGGGTGTGAGCTCTAGGAGTTTCCCGAGCAACTGTGCAGACAGCTCAGTGTTGAAACGATGTTACGGTCTTGAAGCCATAGCCAGAGCTTATGCGTGAGATAAATAAGGATGGCGGAGACCGATTCGTGGACAATGTTCTCGAGGCTTTTGGGTTAAACGAATAGAGTTAGCGATTGGAGTTGTTGGGCCTGTCTTCTGGCAGGGTTAGACTTCCCGAAACCGTCCATAAGTTTTCTGTCTGCGGAAACGGATAAGCCTGCCAAACAAGCTTTAAGAACTGCAGATGAAAATGCGAATAACTAACTCTATTCTAAAGTAATCAAGTTTCCCCTCCGCGAACAGTGTCCGGGTAAGATATTGGTGCTTGTCGGGAGCAGAGCAAGCGTGGCGAGATTCAAAATATTTTCGCGCCTAACCCGGTTGACCTACTGCAGTGCTCAACGCCTCTCTGGAGGGGTTGTTCATATGTCATATTCCCCCAGGTTTGACCGCGACTGTCTTCACGGTCGTCTCTTCGTCTCTCCAAACAAACGCCGTCCATGGATACTACAGAGCAATCCGGCCCTGGCTGCAGGCACCGCAGTGACTTCATTCTCCCTGTCAGCCTTGGTCAGCTCCTGGGTCAGGAAGCGGTATTATCCATGTGCAAATAACTGCAAACTCCCTTGCCCTTGTGTGAACCACCGTCTGGCGCTACCGCGAGTCCGTCGTTGAAGTAAGGAAGCTAAAGCGAGCAACCGCCGCATCTGGTTGGCCGAGGCGCTATCAATCTCCCATCAGATACGGCCAACATGCCTGCTAGCCCCATCTGATAAAAATTTCTCCTGTCACGATTCCTGCGCCGTCCGCAAAAAGGTGATTTGAGGCGGAGAATAAGTAGGCGAAAAGCAAAAGCAAAAAAAAAGGAAGAAAAATATTTGAAGACTAGGCTTGGTGAATTGCCTTCCAGCCAGCCCGTTATCCCGCAAGGGTTCCATCATCCTTCCCTGGCGCCCGTTGAGTCGGGTTGTATTCTCCTCCTCAACAGAGCTTTAAAAGCTAATCCTGCGCCCGGACTCGAGCTTGGAATTTGTTTCCTTTTCTTTCTTTTTCTACCCCGCTCTCGTTTCGTAAATATAATAGGGAACTCATCCATTGCATCGACTGATTTGCTTATAATATACTTCAATAACTAACCACCTTGGGTATCTGCCTTGCTCGCAGCTCTGCGCTGATAGACTCATGGGAACTGTAGAGGATAGCAAGGAGGCATTCCCTCCATCGCCGCTGGAGGTGGGCGAGAAGGGAAAGCATGATGTATCTGACTCCGGCAATGCAGGTCAGGACCACTCGCCGGCTCTCCTGGGAGAGAAAAGTCCTGGTGTTGCACGGGTCGAGGTGATTTCTCGCTACTTCACGCTTCCAGACAAGGTCCTGTTCTTTTTTGGTATATTCCTTCTCGCCTACGCTTATGGATTGGATGGGACTATTCGATATACTTACCAGGTATGTTCGGGGCGGCCGCATTATCGACTGGAGTATCTATCCATCCCCCTCGCCCCCGCTGTATGATACAAAAGAGAAAGAAAGAAGTATAAACTGCTGACTGAAGACGATCGAAAGCCCTATGCTGTTGCGTCATATGCCCAACACAGCTTGCTAGCGACAGTTAATGTTCTGCGAGGCGTCATTGGTGCTGCTGCTCAGGTATGTCCAGTCCGTTCCTCAGGCGCATATCGAGATCCTGTACTGATCATGCCCTATATAGCCAACAATCGCAAAGATTGCTGATGTGTTTGGTCGCGCGGAGGTTATCAGTATTACTATTGTATTCTATATCATTGGTATGTGACATATCCCTCCTGCAAGGAAAAAGGCCTTGTGCTATAGACTTAGCTGACGATTGTGACAGGCACGATTATCGAAGCTTGCGCAACCAACGTGCAATCATTCTGTGCCGGTGCCATCCTTTATCAGGTGAGCGGATATATTCCACCCACGCCTTGTATTTTTCTTGGTTCACTAACTTCGGACTCTACTTGTGTTTCTCTTTTTCAAAAAGATCGGCTACACAGGTATCATGTTGCTGGTCGAGGTCCTGATTGCTGATACGACATCGCTTCGGTCCCGCTTAATCTTCTCCTACGTTCCTGCATTACCATTCCTCGTACGTTTGGAGCCGTTAACAATCTCCTTTCTCCAGGGGCCAGAATCATCTCACTAATCGGATATAGATCAATACCTGGGTGAGTGGGAATGTCACAAATGCTGTGCTGGGCGTCACAACATGGAAATGGGGTATGCAACACTTCGTGATATAACTCGACTCAAGCTTCAGCTAACAGCCCCCTACAGGAATTGGGATGTGGGCAATCATCTACCCAGGTATGTTATTATCCAGAATCAACGAATCTGCCATCCGAGCGAAGAGGAAAAGGAAGTTGAAGCAAGAAAATAAAAAGCTAACTGGGAAATCATATAGTGTGCTGTTTGCCGTTGATCGCATCTCTCTTTATCGTCCACAGAAGAGCAAAAGTAGATGGCGCGCTTGCTGGGTACAAAAGTTCGTATCAGCTTCTGGGCGCGCGCCGGCTCTCGATAGCCCTCTTCTGGCAGCTGGATGTAATAGGCGTCATCCTTTTGATTGCCGTTTTCGCCCTTATTCTCGTTCCTTTTACTCTTGCCGGGGGAGTCCAGACTCAATGGCAGAAGGCCAAGGTTATCGCGCCGCTCGTCATTGGGATCTGTTGCATTCCCGTCTTCGTTTTCTGGGAGAGATCTTGCAAGCATCCCATGGTTCCATTTAGAGTGAGTCCTCATCACCCATATATTTGGAATTCCCCGTCTTGTCGTCTGCTTTGGGTATACTAACAGAATCTGCCCAGCTTCTTAAAGACCGTGCCGTCTGGGCTGCCCTTGGTATTGCGGTGATGCTTAACACTGGTAAGGACAAACCGCCCAATTTTCTCTTGAAAGCTTCTCCGACCTAGGCTAACCATCCTTCCCCCTTTCTTTCTCCCTCTTTTCTCAGCGTGGTATCTCCAGGGAGACTTCCTCTATACGGTGTTGATTGTTGCTTTCGACGAGTCCATCAAAAGCGCCACTCGCATCACCTCCCTGTACAGCTTTTCGTCTGTCATTACGGGCTGCATCGCCGGTCTCGTTGTCTTGAAGATTCGCCGGCTTAAGGTCATGATCATCTGCGGAACCCTTCTGTTCATGGTTGCGTTCGGTATTCTCATTCACTTCCGTGGGGGATCAGGCGGCTCCAGCCACTCTGGGGTCATCGGTGCCCAGGTCTTGCTCGGTATTGGTAAGATATAACCTCACAAGCTCCAACTGCCCAACAAAAAAACACCCTTTGTCCTCTAGATTCCAAGTTAAATATTGATGAGACTAAAACTAACCTCCTATTAAAGCTGGTGGATTATTCCCTTACCCCGCACAAGCAAGTATCCAAGCTGCAACGAAACATGAACGTGAGTATATAAAATATATGCCGCTCCCTTCCCCAATGAGCCCACGCTCAACAAACAACCACAAAAAAAAAAAGAAGAAAGAAAAGGAAACCCCCAGCGCCCGAATCCAGCTAACCTTGATATTAGACGTGGCCGTCATCACCGGCTTGTACCTCGCAAGCTACAACATCGGCAGCGCCCTCGGGAACGCCATCTCGGGTGCGATCTGGAACCAAGTGCTCCCGGGCGCTATCCAGGATCGAGTCGGGGACGCAATTGACGCGGGCACAATATATGGCAACCCATTTGGGTTTGCCACGGCTCACCCGGTCGGCACGCCGGTGCGCGATGGTGTCATTGATGCCTACCGCCACGTCCAGCGACTGCTGTGCATCACTGGTATCTGTCTCACTGTGTTGTTGGTTGTCTTTGCTCTTCTGATCCGTGACCCTGTTCTGGGCAAGTCGCAGAGTCTTGAGGATGCGGAGAAGGAGTCAGTTTCATCTTCTGAGGAGGAGCGCTGAGGGGGTTGAGGGGTGTGAGCGACGTTTTGCAGATATCCTTCCCTCTCCTCCCCCCCTTTTTTTTTCTTTCTTTTTCTTCTTTGGAACTTTTGTTAACTTTTGTTGAGGAGTAATGAATTCCCCCATTGGAAGAAATGGCTCATTCCATGATATAGAACATGGGAAGCAGTCCCGCCTTGATGGAGAAGCAACGGTTTTGATTTTCAGATGGTTTCAAAGTGGTTTCCTGTTTTATTGATTACTAGTATGGTGAACACGTATGTAACTATGATTAAATACCCAACCCCAGCTCACGATGATGAGATAGTCAAGAATTCTCTCTCTATTTAGTTATTGGATAAGACGCAATTCATACCACAACTAATACAAGAAAATAAAAATAAAATAAAATAAAAACGGCACGATAACTGCGTGCAGACGCCAAGTTGCTGTATCTACTCTCCATGTGCGTCCCCAATGGATGGGAATGTGAGAGAAGGGGAGTTCCTTGTCTGAGGGAGGATACAATTCCATCCCTGGAGCTGCGAAATGTCTCACTATCAGTACCGATCTCGGCTATCTAGAACCTCGCTTTTGCCATCCAAAGGCCTTTCTTTTGAGGCCATGCCAGCGTACACCATCAGGTCCTGTCTCGCTGTTCGTCCATTCTATCATGCTCTGCCTGCTTATGTCTCTAAATTCTGTAATGTCTTGAGCCTAAGGAGTAAGAAGAGCCAAAGGAAGTGAGCAACAAACATCATAGGGAATCTTTTTTTTTTTTTTGGGGCAGATTCAAATCGTATTCGATCACATTAGCTTTGCCTCGTCACGACGTCTAAAGGTGGCGGGCGATGTTAGAAAACTGAGTGGACAAGACACGACCCATCTTCTACGGCCCAGGCCATGAGCGTAGTCTCCTGTCTGAATTCCGTTCCGGTTCACTGGAATTGCTGATATTGCCTACAAAAAGCACCTCGATTGGAATAGTGCCCTTGCTCGAATATGTCGCGGGGGTGCCACAGACAGATGTCTCTCATTCCGCTTGGGACATCTTCTAGAAACACAAGAGAACCCTTTCCATCAAGGGGTCTAGAACCGCTCTGAAACACGTACAGTGTCTAGGACATGAGGTGACAAAAGTGCTTGGTGCGGAATCCCACTCCCTGTTTCTCCAGAGGTTTATAGTGAAAATTTGCAGTTCGCTCGCCGAATGACTTCGAGGGTTGCCATGGCAAGCCTTGGGAGAGGTTGCAGGGTGTGATCGCATTGAACCGAAAATTCGATCAGGGAAGTAAGTATACGAGTATTCAACCGAGAGCTGGTCAGGATAGTAGTAAGTTCTTAGGGAATAAACAGCCTCTACACAATGTCAGATATATCATCATCGTTCGACACTAGTACCTTGCATTCAGGATGTTGTCCGTACAATTGCACAGTACTCTCTAACCTGGCCGATCTGAGCGTTCTTGTTGGATAAAATGCTGCCCCGCTTGTAGAAGCCAGGTTGCGTAAACAATATGGCAGCCACCCAGCCGGGTACGTGCAGATGTTCTTAGATCCCAGTAGCCAGCTGTGTCTTGCATGTATTGAGTATATCACGGTGGAGTGTCTGTCTGTCTATCTGTCTGTCTGTCCTTCGTCAGCCCCGAAGCCGCCGAGGCCACAGCTAGTCAACGTTAGTCGACGAGCTAATGACGACAGTCCACATCCCTCTCATTCCCCACACAACTCCCCAGCATAACCTCCGCAGCAACTTGAACCTGCAACATCCGCCAGCGCTGTCCTGCCGTGCGGTGTCGATATATCCAGGATATCCACTCGAGCAAAGCAGCAACTGGGACATCCGTGATCCCGCAGCGATTTCTCTGCAGCTCTTCACAAGCCACCTGCACATTACAGCCTCCCGCTTCCGTTCTGCCCGCCTATCTATTGCAGCAAGATCCCGTGTCATATACTAGATATCTTTTCTTTTCTTTTCTTTTTTTCCCTTTTCTCTTCTGCTTTGGTCTTAGTTTAGACTGGTTGGTCATCTGGCTGCAATGTTCGGCATCGTTGCGGATTTACTATCGTGAGTCACTCACTTCCTTCAGCGGCACTTCGGTTTCCAGCATCTATCTAGCTCTGAATATCCTCCCCCATCCTTGCGGAGTTTTACTACTATCGAGCACAATCAATATGCTGACCGAGAATTCTGCTTCGCTTCGCATATAGCTCCGTGCTCACCATCCTCTTCCCCATCTTTGCATCCTACAAAGCGCTCCGAAGCTCCGATCCCTCCCAATTAGCACCATGGCTCATGTACTGGGTTGTCATGTCTATAGTCTTGCTGGTTGAATCTTGGACCTATTTCATTATAGGATGGTATGTTGGCGGAAGCCTCAGAAAAACCCCAAGCCCAGCACGAAAGTTGGCTGTCATCGGCGTGAAGTGAATACTAACCCAAACACAGGTTCCCCTTTTACAGCTGGATTCGCCTCTTCGCCCTCTCCTACCTCGTCCTCCCACAGACCCAAGGCGCCAAAATGCTCTACAGGGAATACATCGACCCATTCCTCTGCCGCCACGAGCGTGATATCGAACACTTCATCAGCAAAACCCACGACAGCGCCAAATCCGCCGGCCTGGAGTACCTCTACAAAGCCATCAATCTCCTTCGTGAAAGGGTCCTGGGCCTTCCCCCCATGGCAGCCACTGCTGCGCCTTCCCCGCACCCGCCACAGGCAGCCGGCGCGGCGGGATTTGCCCAGTCGCTGCTATCCCGCTTCACCATCCCTGGCACAGCAGGCGCGGCGTCGTCGCTCGCCAGCCCCGCTGCAGATCTGTACTCCCTCCTTGCCGCCGCTGTTGGGTCGGCAACCTCCTCGGGGAAAAGCAGAGACGTGCAGGCCGAGGAACTCAGCGCCAGCGGCAAGCTGATTCCCGATAGCATTGCGACGGCGTCCAAGGCGGAACAGGCGGAGTATATTGCGTCGCAGAAGGAACGGCTCGGTGTCCTTTTATCTGCCTTTGATCGTGAGCAGCGGAACCTGCGTCTCGATCCGCGGGACGCGGCGGGAGCGTTTGGTGGGGGTGGGGGCAGCAGTGACCAGGATGATCTGGCGTATGGGAGTGGTGGCTATGATGAATATGGGGGAGCCGGGCTGAGGAAGAATCGGAGTGATGTTTCGTTTGAGAATATTGAGCACGAGGATTTGTTGAGCGGGAGCAGGGAGAGTCGTCGACATTCGCGGAGCCCGCATCGGCGGAGGGGCGGTGATGCGGTGGATTTTGCGCAGCGGTCTGTAGAGGAGATTGCGAGGGCCTCGGGCATTTATCGGTAGAGAGGGCGTTTATTCTTCCTATTTTCCTATTTTCCTATTTCCCTATTTCCTTTGGGTATCTATCACGGTTTCTTGGCGTCTTTTTAATACTTCCTCAATTTTCTTCTCTATATTTTCCCTTGTGTCTACTATCATCAGTGTATTACCGATTAGACACATCCGCGTCCATGTACCGTGCATGTACGAGATATCCAAGCTCACTTATCATGGACCATTTCGTTTATTGGTATATATATATATATATATATATGTATACCTTATCCATCCCCTATACTCTCCCCGTGGCAGTTTCCAATTACACGACCCACGCAAGGCCCCCGAGCGACAAAACGGCCCCACACTTAGAATAATCCTCGATGCCATTGCCAGACGAGAGCTGTTGCTGGTATCGATATCTATCTATCTGCATGGGTAGAATTCAGTTCCGCGCATCACCAATAGCTAAATTTGCCCATGTAAATAAAATCCCTAACGCTGACCCTCCGGCACCGGCACCAGCACCAGCACCAGCGACAAGCGCACGCAGGCACGGAAAGCGGGAAAGCGGAAAGGGGCGCATTGCATTGAGATGGCCCACGGCTGCGGCGAGGAAAGCAATTCCCACAACAGTAGCATCTGCGTCGCTCGGCTCCTTCTCCTTCTCCTTCTTCTCCTCGAATCCCCCTTTCCCGTCCTGGCAGCCATGTTTTCCCGTCTTGCATGTGGGCTGGGGCATCGCTTACTTGGTATATATATATATGTAAATATATATATTCAATGTAAGGGGGGGAGCAGGTAGATCGATATAGCTAGCGATTATATCTACTATACAGAACGCATCCCCAAACACGCTGCATAGGCAATTCACGCGGGGGGGTCGGGGATGATTTTATGATTATTCCCTGCCGCTTCGTTGAGATTCTACAATCTTTGGCTTTTTTTTTTTTTTTACCCAGGTACGCATAGTTTACTGTCCAGTGAATCGCCATCCAGTGAATAGGAAGATAGATAGATAGATACCTTGCATTACCTTGCATTCCCTCCGGACTGGAACCCCCCCATTTATATATATATATATATATATATATTATTAACAGCTACCCAGCTCCTCTCTTAGATGCCTGATGATAATGAACCGCCGTCCTCGGGAGAAAAGCAGACCATGATTCGGTTCACTCGACGACGGACAGGAGGTCTAACTCTGCCGACAAAGACACTAGACCGTTTCTCTGCGATGGATTCAACAGAGTCGGAGCCAGCGCCAGGGCTGCAGCCTCAGCAGCAAGAACCGCGGAGGGTAGACCGCGACCCGGCACGTGAATACCCGCCGCATCTCCACCCATACCAAGTGTCGGGAGAGGTGCACCCCCGGCCCCCCTCAGGGGACCAGGGCAGCAGCAGCAACAGCAGTGGTAGTGGTAGCGAGAGCAGCAGCAGCAGCAACAAACGCCGAAAGCTACATTCCGCAGCGCGCAAAAAGGAGCCGGGCAAATTCCCCACCGCCCTACGATCGCTGGCCACTCAAAGCGGCAGCGCTACCGCTTTTGCCGATGTAGCAGTATCAGCGAGGGCGGTCCCCGCCACCGCCGCCGCCGCTCCTGCTCCCGTTACCAGCACCGCAGGCAATAGCCACGGCCCAACCGCCAGGACGGGTCAACTTGGCAGAGCCAGCACCAGCACCAGCACCAGCACCCAGCCACACGAGCTCCTCATCTCCCGGCTGCGCGCGTTAGAAACTCGGCGGACGGAGCTTGCTACGTGGGCGAAGCGGGCCGAGGACGAATTTGCCTCGTTGATCGGCGAGCGTCGCGCGGCGGAGCAGAAGCTTGTGTGGCTGCGGCGCGAGGAGGAGGCCACGAGGGCTAAGTTGGATTGGTTGCCTGGGGAGCTGCGGGTGGTGGAAGAGAGGCGCGCACGGGCGGTGGGGGAGCTGGTAGTGAACGGGGAAAGGCGGGCAGAGGTGTTGGGGGAGCTTGAGGGATTGGAGGGGATGGCGGGGATAGAGAGTGGGAGTGGGAACGGAGGGGAAAGGGATGTGATTGTTATTGACGAGGAGATGGTGGGTTAGAGAGAGGGGAGTTACTCTGTATCTTGCAGGTTTGTTTGCGTCTTGAAAACTTCCGTGGTTGGGTTGGTTTAGTTGTCACTAGAATTCGACTATTGGTTTTTCATGCATTCGGCTGGCTTGTTTGTTTCTTTGGTTGTTGACTCCAATTTTGGCTTGGCTATGACACTGTGAGTACTTCGGATATGAAAACAGGAAGAAAAATCCAAAAGGCGGGAGAGGGCTGCCGCCGGAAGATTGCGGGAATAATGGAGATTGTTTGAACCCTTCCGTGCCGAGCACAGAGTACAGGGTCCAGTATACATTCCTTTGGAACGAAACGATAGTTATCAGCGTCTTCGAGTCCTTGCATCAATCACCATTGACAAAATGGCGCATTGGTAAGTACACCGTGTCTCTCGAGGTTGTCAAGCCCCATACAATCGTGCATGTCAATATGGAGAAGATCAACAAGAATGCCAGCAGCTCTATGGCCATCAAGCCCATAGTCAAGCCAAGTAGTATCAATTAGCTTCTTTCGGTGGAGCCCACCCGTGAGGTACTCCGATACCCAAAATTAAGTTGAGTTATTGCTGATATCAAGCTCCACCGTTAGTTACAGCGTAGTTAACTAGACCCCTCGACGTTGCTTGATGATGTCACATCGACGAAAATTTTTCGAGATGGAGCTTGAGAATTGGACACGCTCATCCACATTCCTTCGTCGTCAAGAAAAGAGCAATGCGTAGGTGGTCAAGAAATCCGATCGCCCTCATCTGGGGTTCGTTGGCACCACCCGTGCTCGGAACCACAGTATGGGAGCCACAAATGTAGTCCCTAACAAATGTGGGTGGCTGCTCTGGATGGAAATATGACAGCTGTAAAAGCGAAAAGCAGGTGTTGACAAGTGGCGGGTGCAGGAGGGAGTTCCTGATGAAATCGATGCTCTTGGAGACGGGATGGTCCAGATGCGGGGGCTCGCATGTTACTGTAACTAACCATATAGCAACTCGTAGTTAGTTATTCAAAATTCTGCTCACAAACCACACCCACCGTATGACGAGTTTCCCTTTGATGTATTGTATTCCCTCTCGATTCTCGTGGGGACCTTGCTGCCCTTCTCTCGGATCCAGCTTGCCTTCCCAAGGCACGGATCGGGACAGCGTCGAGATATCGCCGACACCCGTATAATCCCCCACATCTCACTGTCTCAAGCCGTCCACCCACTACAGTGTCGCAGATCCCATCCCCTGGATGCTTTTCTAGCGCGAGATAGAGTTTCCACCAGCTTCTCATTCGTCCCGGGCCTGGAAAGCCACGAGACGTTGTGGCTAGTTACTATTGGGCACATCACAGCATGGAACCTACGTGCTTTGCTTCGTGAAGAATTTGCAGTCTTAACCCACTCAATCAGAGAACCACAGTGTCTGCCACCTATTCGAAGGATAATTTTAATTCTTCATCATGAAGAATATTGGCGTGCATCGGCTACATCTTTTGGAGAAGAAGGCTTTGATTGGGAATAACTAAATAACTATCATTATCAATTCAACAAATAGGTGTAAGTAAGAGAGCTAGATATACCAGTTATCTAGAGATAGACTCGGTTTTTATTTTCATATCTTTATTAGAGTAGTTATAAGCTCCACTTTTCAACTTCCAAGGCTTTACTTTAGTAGTATATACAAGCTTATCATCAATCTAGCATATGTATGATATAAAATACATCTCAGAGATAGCCATATATCATATTAATCTGTATATCCAAGCATTAATTCTATAGATTTGTGATGGAGTGACTATGAAGCAAATGAATTTCAATCAACTCTCATACAAATTGCTCTCATTTCCTAATGCGGGTTAGTTAACTGCTGTATACTTATACTTTTTCCATGCAGAGTTTGTCTGGGTTCACTGAGATAATGGAACCTTGACTTTGCGTTTATTTTTCTGCTTTTTTTTTTTTTTTTTTTCGTGAGACGAACTCGTCAACGAACCAACGTTGCGGCTATTACCCTGCTGCCCTTGCATTTTCCCTGCGTTGACCCTGTCCGACCGTCCCGACTCACGGCGAAGGCCTGTTCGATGCGCTCTCTGCCCGGGTGGCCTGGGCACGAGTCTGAAAATTGAGTTACACGAATCACCTACCCACACGTTGTCCCCATCCGGATGATGTCGTCTCGAGTTCTCCGGTCTCCGACTCCCCGAGCGGAGGCTGTAGCTTCGGGCGGGCTACCCTCTTCTGGATCGTCCGCCCCGCTAAAGGGTAGCGAGTGGTAGTCGGTAACCAGAGGCCACTAGTTGTCCTCTCGTTGCTTCTTCCTCCCCGTCCCGCTTTTTTTCTCTTTGCGGACCCCGAAAAAGAAATATCACCTCCCAGCTGGCCACGACCTGGACGAAGGAGAAAGTGATGTCGATCGCTGCAAACTCCCTCGCATCTCACCAGCGAAGGTGCTGAGCCCGCGGTATATGAGACAGGGCATTGCTCTCCCTCCTTTCTCTCGAAAGCAATGGAACCAGGTGTTCCCCTTTTTTGTTGAAAAGTGATATTTGCTCTTGTTTTTTGCTCCTGGAAGAACGGCGGAGACACAGCAATCATGATGCGGTCTCTTTTGAAGTCGCTTGCTTTGGCATGCCTACTGCAATTCGCAACCACCGGAGCCCATGCCGCGGGTCTGGAGGAAGTGTACGATGCGGGTTATCATGGAAATGATACTGTCGCGCTCAGGATTGCCAATGGGGGTGCTGGCCAAAGTGGACTGATTAGAGGTAAGGGGGAAAAGAAAGAAAGAAAGAAAAAAATCACCAACCCCCGTGCATGGGGATACCTTACGGATTCAAACAAATCTTCAAACAATCCAACTAACCCGACTTGCCAAATAAGAACTTGCCGACGCTTTTATCAAGTTCAGAGTCGACCATGGTGCTGAACCGTTCCGAGTTGCATGGGTCAAAAGCGATACCACCGAGTCTATCAACAACCTCCAGAGCGGTGCTGCCGACGTCGCCTTCACCTACAGCCCCGTTGCGGAGGACCTAGCCATAGAGGAGGGCATCGCTCTGCGCCCCAGTTACTATGCCTGGCGTGACCATTTCATGCTCATCGGACCCCGGTCAAACCCTGCGAAACTGAACAAGAAAGACAAGATCCTCAAGATGATTTCGGATATCTACAAGGCGGCCGAGCGTGGGACCACGGAGCCGCCCACCAGGTTCCTGACCAGGTTCGACAAATCTGCGACGAATATTAAGGATTCGTCGCTGTTTATTGGCATTGGACAGGTAAGCCCCCTTTTTTTTTTCGTTTTCCTTCCTCTCTCTCAGTTTACCCAGTATATATATATATATATATATATATATATATATTGTACAATCAAATCAAACTAAAAATACTTAAAAAGGTCCCCTGGGCCACCCCCACCGCAAAATGGTACCACCAATACATCGCGTACCCCATCCAGGCCCTCCACGCCGCCTCCATGCTGGAAGAATACACCATCACAGACCGCGGCACCTTCCTGTCCGTCTCCCAGGAAGTCCGCGACAACATCGTCATCTACAAAGAGGGCAGTGACCACGCCGACGACCCCTTGCTTAACCCAGCGCACTTGCTGATTGGCGCGCAGGCGCAGGATCTGCAGCTCGCGAAGGAGTTTGCCAAGTGGGTTGTCGGTTCTCGTGGGCAGAAGGTTATTCTCGCCTTTAAGAAGGGGGGGAAGCAGCTGTATACCGGTGCACCGTAATTGTTGTTTTCTTTTTCTTTTTTTTTTTTTTCTATCTGTATATATATTGAGATATTGAGTGCAGGGGGTTTGGGGAAGTAGAGGACTTGAGATAACCCTTTCTGGAAAAGCGGGCGTCATATACCCAGAGGAGGGGCAAGATGTACATATGCAGAGAAGATGATCCTTGATTGCGAGTAATGAACGCAAGTGTTCTAAATAGTCAAGCTACAGGATAGCACGATGTTTACACAGTTACTGAAAAAAGTATATAGTTCTAGTCTTTATCAATCTAACTCCCCTTTTCGGTCTTTCTCCCTTTTTTTTTTTTTTTTTTTTTCCCGCAATTTGGTGATGATTCTAACCAACAATGATTTGATTCTGTATTTGCGATCAGGATGTACTCTTCAAGATCTGATGAGGATAAAAGTTAAAAATCACTCTTAAGTAAAACATTTTTACAATCCTCGATAGAGTTGGGCCGAGGTTCGGGAACGAGATTCTGAGTTTACGAGCGCGCGAAACGGCGGGATTTGAGTGTGCTGGGGAAGATTGGGGCTGCTACTAAATTCTTTACGTTTTTATTTATATATTTATTTATTAATGATATTATTTTGTTTCCGGTTCTTTTATTCATTATATTTATTCCTTTTGCTAGATGAAGATGTGCAACACTAGAAATTTACGTAGACATCAGAACCAGATGAATCGATCTAGCCATACACCAAACTAACAAACTTGACAGTTAAACTTTATACAAGCCTCAAGCTTCAGAATAAACTTACTTCAAAAACATTGACTACTGGACAGCTGAGATGTAACATCGGATTACCACAGAAGATTCTAGCGTTCCCCACTTCCGTAGATGCCAGATGGAAGAGTCCAGCGGTACCTTGCATCAGATAAGGTGTTCTGGAATTTTCCCAGCTTACCCCTACGCTTTGGTTGTTTAGATACAGCTTCTCTATAATACCTAGGAACTTAGCCGATCCCGCAGGCTCCCAGTGATCGGGGCTCAGCATTCAAATGTACTTGGAATAGATAACTAATGATTGCAATGATATTAGTGGTCAATATCCAAGTACCCACTCGTAGTTATACAGAAGACCCAAACAGGGCTGGCTACTAAGGTAGGGTACTGGCGATGCTAAACTAGTCACCGCCAAAGTTAGTCTGTCTTCCCGCATTTCTCGCAAAGTCCTCTGATGATAACCGGACTTAGGGTTAGCCTAACGCAGCTGAGTGTAGCGCATGAGCTTAATTCAACATCATGGCCAGTTTCTTCCCGAGGTACAGTGACAATGCCGTTTGTTTGCAGTATCTCACCCCTTTGAAAAACCCAATGTGTGAATACAAGGATGATGGTATCTGCCGGACTGTGTCACCTAGGGCCGAATCACTACGTGTCTCTTGCGCATCGTGGTCACGCCCTTTGTCACCTATTTATAAGACCCTTTCAGAGCCTTGATCGACCCCTCAATGCGCAGCCTCACGGCTTTCAGTTTTACTCGGTATTCTGCCTTGGGTGATCATCTTCATTCCGTTTGTTAGCCAGCAGCCTCTTGGGCACCAAACGGCACATTGCGTCGGGGGTGCCATGTGATACAATCAATGATTTGTGTCATTTTGTCTTTTTTCATCTTTCAAGTGGAACAATAACTGCTTTCAATATTTATAGAACATGTTAATATTGCCAATCCGGGAGGGCCACCGGGGGGATGCCGGTACGGCATCTTCCTGTCAAGGGGGTGAGATTCGCGAGGAAGCTTCAGGGTATATAAATTGACTCTCATATCCTGGCTTTCTTGCTGTCTTTTCTACTTCTATTATTTCCTTCATACTCGACGAAGTCCAGATAAGAATTTAGTCAGTCGATCTATACTCTGTTTTCCCCCTTGTCTATGTCCACTTCTCCATTCCCCGAAAAGTAAAACGCCACCTGCAATACTTTAGGTAGAAGAACCTCGCTCTCTACCCTTCACCCTTCCCACAACCTGCGAAGAAGGTCAGAACCTATCTACCTCGTTCTCCTTACGCGCACTGCTTATTGAGCTTCCAAGACACTTCATCACAACAGCAACTTTCCAGCAAGCAACAAGTTGACATTTATTCCCTTCTGGCTGGTCAGCAATGTGCTATCGAGTTCGTACCTACTACAAGTGCATGCATTTAGAATCAGAATCTTCCAATAACTGTGACCAGTACCCTGATTGCGATAGTGATTGGGTCGACGTCTATCTTGAAGATTACTGCCCACGTTGTCTGTATTGTTAGGCAAACGGCTGTTCTTCTTGAGCAAACAGCTTGTGCTACGGGTTATAAGAGCTCGCTTTCGCGACTGCCATCACATGTGTGTAACCATTAGAACCACCTACAAGTGTCAGTGTTTGGAAAGTGAAGTCTTCAATCTCTGCGTTATCGAGGGGTGCACCCGCTTGGACTTCGCGACTGTCCATCTGGAGAGAAACTGCGCGGAGTGCCATCGTCGTGGGTTACCCTAGGTTGCGCGGTATGTTAAACGGAGTCTGAGACATCACCAGAACTAACCGTTAGTTGTCGGTATTCTAGTTTCTGTAGGGATAGGTTTCCCATTCTCCCTCGTATCCACGGTTTTCCACGCAATCCGCCATAATGTGTAGGATGTACACTATTTACTATCGGTGCTTCTGCCTGAAGAGCAGAACCCCTATCGACGGCCCGTGTTCTGATTACCCCGATTGTGTCCAAGAAGACTGGAATGTGGAGTACATTTATGATTGGTGTCCCGAACACGAGCGCCAACCAAACGGACATTGATCCGCCCGCGCATTCCATTCATTCGGTGCCGGACACGGATCATGTATTCCTTCCTGCGAATCTAACGCCCATCCATCCACTCTTCACTATGCACATTCCCCGATCTTCTTGTCGATGCGTTCGGTTTTCCATTCGCTGATGGCGCCGCTGAGGAATCCCCGCTGATATCCGATCCCCCGTTCCAGCAGAATCTCAGAATCTCTCTTTGATGCTGTTTCAGTTCATGTGTGCCAGCTGCACTAGCTATGCCTCATTGATTTGCCCTTGTTCGAGAACGTCACATTGATCCTTGATTTGAATATCCCTTCCCTACTTCGCCCCTTGATTCCCGTCTCGCATTGTCTTTCCTGAGTTTGTTTCCTGAGAGAGCACCATTCCCCATATATCTGTTATTAGTGATTTCCTTATCCAGTTTTTCTTTTAGCCTTTGAGAAACGTACACCCTTTGAACGACCATCCTAGTATGGAAATTGCTGCTTTCCCCCGGTACAGTACTCTCATGATTGCATGATTGCATGTTTCATACTTTTCTCTAGTTAAACTAAATTGAATAGTCACTTAAATTCTTGAAGAAACCCTATTGTTTACACATAGCTGGCTTTCCTACTGTTGTTATTTGGCGTCCGCGGACGAAGGAAACTGCCTTTTGACAAACATGGACCTGCTTTGGTGGGATTTGCCGTGAGCAACGGGAGGTTGAAATAAGGTTATGCAGCGGATTCTGATTGGCTCCTGGATTAAGTAGAACGGTGCCACCCAGCTGGACAGACACATACACTTCTATAAATATCTAGCCACAAAAGTACTGCTACGCTGCGTAAGTTGAGTAAACGGGAGATACTAGCGGGAAATAGCCAAACAAATATACCGATTCCTTGTTTTGTTGTTAACAAACCTACGTGAGTGAACGATGCGTGGAACACTAAACTAACCACATGGCGGCATAAAAGATCTAGTTATCAAAAATGAATGTCATAAAAGATATGCAAATCCCATAACCATCCATCCATCCATCCATCCATCCATCAAATCTTACTCCCAACTTTCCAAGCTTTTCAACACACAGCCCTCATCCTCTTCACGCGCAACCAACTCTCCAACAACGAATACCTTCTCCCCCTTTCCTTCCAACAGTCCCTTCACAAGTGCCACATCCTCCTTTCCAACAACAATAACCATGCCAATCCCGTTATTAAATGCCCGCCCCATCTCCGAGCCCGTAATTCCCCCAGACTTCTTCAGCCACCTAAACACCGGCGGAAGTGGCCACGACGCAACATCAACAAGCGCTGTCAGATATTTTGGGAGCGCGCGCGGGATATTCTCCACAAGTCCGCCACCGGTAATATGCGCAAGACCCTTAATCGCACCGGGAGCCGCCGCGAGAGCCGCCAGGAGCGGCTTGACGTAGATCCGCGTAGGGGTCAATAGCGCAGCACCGAGCGACGGAGCCGTGGTCTCAAAGGGCGCAGCATCGTGGTACGAGAGGCCCGAGCGCTCGACAACTTTCCGCACCAGAGAGTATCCGTTGGAGTGCGGGCCGCTACTGGCCAGCCCGAGGAGCACGTCGCCGACCTGCATCCGCTCTATGGCCGGCAGGACCGTGCGCTTCGCCGTGTCGATCGCACCCACCGCAGCGCCGACGGCGTCGTAAGCCGTGCCCGCGTATAGCCCGGGCATCTCAGCCGTTTCTCCACCGACCAGTGCGCAGCCGGCATCGACGCAGCCGGCAGCAACGCCGGACACGAACGCGGCGGCCGTGGCGACATCGAGTTTGCCGCAGCTGTAGCAGTCGAGGAAGAAGAGGGGCTCAGCGCCCTGGACAACGAGGTCGTTGACGTTCATGGCCACCAGGTCGATGCCGACGGTGTTGTGCACGCGCATTTCATGGGCGATGGCGAGCTTGGTGCCAACACCGTCGATGGCGCCGATTAGAGTTGGCGAGGAAGGGTGGAAGCCTGAGTTGCAGGTTGAGAGGGAGAAGGTGCCGCCGAAACCGCCAATTATGGCGTCAGTTCCTGGGCGTCGGGTCTGGGCGACGTTGGCTTTGATTTGCTTGACGAGGTCGTTGCCCGCGTCTATGGAGACGCCGGCAGCGGCGTAGGTGAGGGGTTCGGCGTTGGAGGAGGATGTGGATCTAAAGGCGCGGTGTGCGATGTCCTTGCGGTAATGCATCCCTTGGAAGTTGATAGTAGAAATTCCCGTGTAGGCGTCGCTTACTGCATCCTCGAGCGTGGCAGCTGTGGATGTTGCCGCGATAACGCGACCACCGGATGTTTTCAGGTGATTGTTTGTTAGAGTGGTACCTGCGTGGAAAATTAGGGTGTTTGCGGCCGGTGGAGTCAGGGAAATATCCCGGCCCTTCGCGTAGGAACCTGGATATCCCTCTGCGACGGCAATTACAGTGGCGGAAAACTTCGGCTCAATTTTTATCGTCACACCGTCAAGCCAATGCTCAGTACAAGCAATCATCACCTCGGCTAGATCAGTGTCATCACTCAGGAGAGGCAGAAGAGTTTGTGTTTCTGGATCACCGCCACGGACATTGTATTCAAGGACCTTAGGTCCATTCTTGGTCATCATGAGTCCAGTAAATAAAATTCCAACAAATGGGTAACCTAGAGAGCCCAATTAGTTATCTCTCTCGAAGTGCAGATCACGGAAGAAGACCCAAGATCACCTTCTCTCCTCATTCCGTTAATGGTAGGGATAATGACAGTCTTGTCAATCTCATCAAGCACTTCCTTTGATGTAATTCGCGTTGGCGCATAGCAACCCATGCCTCCCGTGTTGGGACCTTGATCTCCGTCGAAGATGCGTTTGTGATCCTGCGCGGGCGGGAGCGACCTGACCGTGTATCCATCGGAGAATGTAAGAATACTGAGCTCGTCTCCCTCAAGGAACTCTTCGATCACAACCTCGTCTCCGGCCTCTCCAAACTGTCGATCAAGCATCATTTCCCTTAGTGCCTTTTGAGCTTCCTCCTTCGACTGGGGGATGATAACCCCTTTTCCAGCAGCAAGGCCACTGGCTTTGATAACGACATCATGATTGACGGAGTCTAGATATCTACTTGCACTTGCGTAATCGCTGAAATTTTCGTAGGCAGCGGTCGGGATGTTGTGGCGTTTCATGAAGTCCTTGGAGAATGTCTTCGAGCCTTCCATGCGTGCAGCAGCCTGGGAAGGGCCAAAACATCTGATTCCAACTGCAAATATTGTTAATTTTCAGTTAAACTGCAGTTCTGGTTTCTCTAATCATAATTTTAATCCTTAAATCTCCCTTCTTCTTCTTCTCCTTTGCATGTTAACTAATCCAGGGGAAGATTGCTGGGGTGACTAACCCGACTGAAAAAATTTCTGTATGCCATCCACCAGCGGAGCCTCAGGGCCTGGAACGACAAGATTGACATTGTTCTTCTGAGAAAACGTTACCAATCCTGCATAGTCATCGGCCTTGATGTCGATGTTGGCTATCTTAGAGTGGCCTGCGGCTGTACCTCCATTTCCAGGCGCGACAAAAACGATATCGACACTTGGTGAATGGCTGAGCTTCCAAGCAAACGCATGCTCTCGACCGCCACTCCCAACAACAAGGACGCGCAGTCTCTCCTGCAGCATATTCGCTTCTCCGCCCTTGGACTAGGAACTCGAGTTAGAAAATCCTCCATTGCGGGTAACATGCGCTGTATGAACTTGAGAAACAGCCAGGACAGAGGCATCGTATATGTGTATAACATAGCATTGGAGCAACGTGAAAGGAACGCCAAAGAGAAACCAAAAATTGGCCCCCTTCAGTGTTGGATTCAAATCATCCTCCCACCAAATGAGGGGCACAGATTGAAAATTGACTATTCAAACCCGGCATGAACTATGTTAAATAAACAACTAAAATAATCCTAACTATTGATTGCCAATATCTGAGTACCAATAGTGACATTGATAGCCTGGTTCTGAACTAATATAAAATAGATCATGGAGAGGGCATTTCGAGTATCGCGGGGTTGGTTGGAGCTATAGAAAAGCACCCAGGGCACAAAACGAACAGGAAGGAAATACAACCAATGTAAAAAAGCAGAAGGCGAAGATATCTCACTTACAATCCGAGGATATAAACACGGGACTATCGGTATGTCAAGGCATCAAAAACCAGTATCTTTCCTTCTTCTGTACTCGTATGTTTTTTTTTTTTTGGTGGTGTTCTGGATTTTTTTGCGCCGGGCCTGGGAAACTTTTCGCCGACGTCAAGGTATTTTGAGCTTATTTTCATGCTTGGTACAACATTCATAGATGTCGCAATGAGACAGCGGTACAAGATAATATTCTAGATAGCTGGAAGGCTCCGTACCGGCGAAATTTAATGCACTTAACACGCACGTTACAAATTTAAGAGGCCTTCTTTACTGTCAAATGTAGCTACCTGGACATTTGTATCTGCTTACCTAACGGCGGCACTCCCCCTGGCGGATCTTCACGTGACTTTATCTGCATCCAGCTGTTTCTTTTTTTTGCACAGAGATTTTTGCCGTTCAACAGCTTCATTCTCTCATTAATTCTCTTCTCGTGGACCTCTGTAAGGTTCAATTGCTGCTTCTCGAGCCTCAAAGGGGCCCCCTCTTCTCCTTCTTCTCCTTCTCCTTCTCCTTCTATCTTGTTCTCTTTCTTTTTCTTTGTTACAACACGTTGGTTCTACGCGTTTTAATTAACTACTCGCACCTCTCCGTTGATGATTTTTGACTACTATTCTCGCCACCTCCTATCTCCGTATTTCTCGTTATCAGACAACCGCTGGAATGCTTAGGAGATCTCTCAAGTCCTCCACACGGCCCATGAGTGGTTTTATCTGCTTATCTTGTCTAGTCGCTGAAGTTGGGCTCCGTGCTCATGCTCTTCCCTCGTTTCGTCGCTCTCTCACTACTGCCCATGTGAGCTCCGAACCAACAAATCCATCTGTAATAGTCAACATAAAATATCCCCCTCCAACGCAGGGAAGTGGGACGATTTCGGTGAGTGGTGCTCCCAGGGTACGGTCGTATCCTATTTTTGGTCTCATTTTCCACTCAACCAGCACAATGCTATCTTCCTTTGGCGCATATTTCCCTACAGGCAAAATTTGGATTATGAGACGCTAATATCAAGTTGGCATTGAAGGCAACCCCGGGAAGCGGTAAAAAACCAAAGAAAAAGGCTCATAAACCGAAGAAAGCCGGAAAAGTTGACAAGGAACAAGCAAACGCGAACCCCTCTCCGGGAAGACATTTGGACAGTAAAGCAGCTGTCAAACCGCAAAAAAAACAGGGGTCGCATGCACCTGCAAAACTACAGTCGAGGACATCTCCTAGTCGACCCAGAAAAGATCGACCTGTTAGTTTATTATAATCCTTGCCCTGGAACCACTCGTTGAAAATTCAAACAGCTTATTTGAATGTAGTCCCTTCATCATGCCCGTCAGGACAATGCGATTTTCCATTCCGCTAAAAATGCTCAGCACCCAAGACACACCAGGCAGCAAATGGAGAATGTCGCTCCACCGAGGTCCCCGCGAAAAAAGCGGGAGAAGCACCCCCAAGCAACAGGTGGCACACAAAGCGGCATTCTGGAGTCGACAAGTTTATCATTAACCCGTATGTGGCCCACTTTCGTTCTCATGGCCGTTTTCATAGCTAAAAAAATCTCCAGCTCTTAGCATTGAGGGTGCACCGGTACCGAGACTCTCGTATGGTTTAGAAAGGGCATTGTTCAAGTAAGCGAATACCGACTTCTCTCCAGAAATATCCTGCTAACAAATTGTTACTATAGCCCTGGTGTTTACCATCTTCAGGACCCGAGGACGCGAGTATACAACTTTGATCCCTATCTGGGATCGATCATGCCCGTCAAGGAATTCGACTTCTCCGCACTCAATGAGTACATAACTTCCTCCCGGGATGACGGGCTGCGCAAGTTGGCCGTTTGCCACGGCAAGAAATACATAGGGTCTTCTTCAAGCATGACATCCGTGCTGTCACATTTCCACTATTTGCTGTCCGCCTGGCGGCCCTTAAACACTAGTTCTCTTTCACAAGGTTTTTCTGACGTAGCAAAGAACTTCACAAAGATTTTGCGGGCGCCGTCCGCAGTCTTTTTACGTTATAAGGATGGTGTCTACGCTATCGATGCGGACAAGGAATATGACAATGCGAACATTCTGATGAACCTGGGCAGGTCGATGGAGAAACTACTTACTATGCCTACGGAAGAGTTCGAGCGATACCGGCGATCGAGTACCGACAAAGTTATGCCTGACACTGTTTCGCCTGAAACTTATCATTACACCACCTGCGGCAACTTCCTTATGAGGGCACAACTAGATGCCTATGACCCCCGGCTTCCAGGAACCGGCATGTTTGACTTGAAGACTCGTGCTGTGGTATCGATCCGGATGAATACGAAGCACTACGATCGTGGGCTTGGGTACCAAATTAAAGGCCGATTTGGGAAATGGGAGTCGTTCGAGCGCGAGTACTTCGACATGATCCGCGCGGCGTTCCTGAAATATTCCCTCCAGGTCCGCGTCGGTCGTATGGATGGCATCTTCGTTGCTTTCCACAACATTGAACGCATCTTTGGCTTCCAATATGTCAGCTTGCCCGAAATGGACCTGGCCCTTCACGGTCAAACGGACACTGCCCTCGGTGACGCGGAGTTTCAACTCAGTGTCTCCCTCTGGGACAAAGTTTTAGCCAAGGCTACAGAAAAATTCCCCAACCAATCGCTACGCTTCCATTTTGAGACCCGTGAGACTCAAATACCCTGCATGTATGTATTTGCCGAGCCCGTGACGGAGGAGCAAATCGAAGAGATTCAAAATCGCAATAAGGCGGAAATCGAGAATGTCCAAAAGAAACTATTATTCCCCGACGAACTCGAGCAGGAAGGTGAAAATGCACTAGAAAAGGAAGGGACATCCCTTCAAGCATCATCATCAGAAACTAGCGCTGAGGATGGTGCATCGGCGTCAGGAATTGCGGATGACGCTCCTGAGAGGGAAATTTCTGGCGGCGAAGCGGCAGCCGACTCCCATACTGGCGATCCCGTGGACCCCTGCACGAAACCAATATTTGCCATGGCCATAACGATCCAAAGCAAGGTAAATGGCAAGCCCGTTGAGCGACCAACTTTTTTCTCTTCCAAAGACAAATGGGATATAGAGTATACATTTACTATGTTCAATAAACCGGATCGCGCGTGGGCAATCTACTCAGCATGCCAGAGACGGAGGGAACTTAGTCTTGCCCTTGACGACGACGAGACCATCGAAGATAACGCGTATCAGATCCAATTGCAAAGGATTAGCCAGGAAGGCAGGGTGTGGCGCAAACGGCAAGATAAGATGGAGGAAGAGACAGGGACTATTGTTCTACAATAGACAATGATGGGTCTGATGGATTCACACATTTTGGGACTAGGAGATGTGACAAAAACAGATACCTTTTTGGGACATTTGGGTGTATTTTCCTTTTGGTCTGTTTCCTTTTGGTATATTCATTCTCCATGTTCCGGCGTTTTCGTATCCGATTTTTCTTATTCTCCAGCCCCCGCTGATGATATATACGGCACATGGTTATATTATCGGGTTTCTTCATTTTACTCAATGGCCCATTTTGAAATGCAACACTCATCATCATCAACAACACTGTACTATACGCATCCGCACCCTCCGCCTGTTACATACATAATGTCCTGTACAACCCATCCGTTCTGGCAAGCATAACGTATAGCTTTTTATCTCATGCTTTTCCTTCTTGGCTTAGATTTCATGGGGGAGTTTAGTGTCAATTATCTCTTGTCCAACATGACTTATTGGCTTTTTGATGTTCGTCATGTTTTGTATTTATAACTAGTGGTTAGTATTTGTTTTTGCTCGAATGTCATTGCTCTTTCATCTCATAATTCCTCAATCCAGACCCAGGACCTTTATATTTTTATTTACCTCCCTCCACTGCTTAGAGCAGCCTTAAAATGTCCTAGGCCCCTGGCCTGGTGAATCAATATCTAGCTAGACCAGAACGTACAGCGTACTAGGCTCCAAGTTCTAACAATGAAAATGTTGCATGCACGGTAATTTTCTCCTGCACTCCCACCTTACTAGTAGACTTTGCAGCTTCAAGCCCACCTTCACTTTCCTTTCACTGACAACAGTAAACAACACAAGCATCATTAGCTCCTCCTAACAGTGGCCCTGCGAACAGCATATTCAGAACGGTCATTTTCATCACCATCACGATCTAGTATACAATTTTTCCATTCAAAACATGAAGACACTCACCACTTTTACTGCCAAACTATAGTTTGCATGAATAAAAAAAAAATAACCCTCTCATCTGAGTTGTTAACAAGTTGCATTATAACATAAGGCTTTCTACTCCATTAACTCTATTCAAACTTGCTAATTATAGCTATGAAGACTTTACATAGGGGGTTGGTGAGATACTGTATACATTGGTTCTCATAACTTTTGTATAACTATATAATTATCACATAAAAGAAAGTTGTCTCACTCAGCATGATTTGCTCTTGATACTAACAAGCGTGATATATATCTCCTGCTAGCTTCTCAGTCTTAAAAGTGAACATATCGATGTGGTGCGACACATCTGACCTGTTTGAAGTAATATAGATGAGACAACGTTGTTGCTGACTCCCAGGCAAGTGAAGACACACACAAAAGACACAATCTTCTAGCATGGGGGTTGATTGCTATGCTATCACAGAACATTGCATGATCTGTGACTTCAACTCTGGGAGGCAATACATTGAGATGCATTGCAGACAATACTCCACGGATGTGTAGATTCGTACTAGGAAAACCAACAAACGGGGGATATTGATCTTTTTCAACCTTTAGACAGTTCTCAGCGAGAATGGGAAGGAATTGGCCGATAGTTCGTAATCACCTACGAAAGCCAGCTTTACAGACAAGCCGAATATCCCAGGAAGAATCCTTTCATGGTTTGTCTCCCAAGACCTGGTCAATATTTTCCTGCTATCCCAGGATGCTAGCACTGCAGTGTACAGCTTGCGAGCACCTCCTTCTCTGCTCTTCCTGATCCCCACCACAGTGGTTCTTCAACAAAAGAAACAGACTAGGAGAATTTCGGCGGGTTGATGTCATCCTTGTGCTTCCCACAACGAAGGAGGGATAAGCCAATTGATGGCTATTCGCGACCAATGGATTGATCGCTGACATTCCTCGTCAGATCAGAGCTCTGGATGGAGAGATCAACCAAAACAACCGAACATCATTCCATTGCACTTCGTACAGACGTACTCATTGGCCAGTTCGACTCTACGGGGACTCTTCTAGCCTTAAACCCTCGCTAAATGCTCGCTTATCGTTTCGTCATCCGCAGTTTCAAAGAGCAAGGCAGCAAGGATGAAACCCGCCTGGAGGCTGACGTCTATCAAAAGAAAAGAAAAAAGATGAAAAATGAAAAAACGGATGAAAAAGAAAAAGAAATATTCAATCGCCAAAGAGTACTCCGTAATTGCCCTCCTCAATGGTCGCCAGCGGCGCCATTCCGGGCCATCGTCTCATCCTTGTGCCTGGCAATTGGACGGAGCTTCCTCCAAATATTCCGCGACAGAGCTCCAAGAGATCAACAGAAATTCTTCCGTGCTCCTCGGCGATGATGACGTGCCGGAATGTCGCAGCCCGGCAAGGCAACTGGCATTGGCATTGGCACTGCGAGGCGAGTGAGTGTGAGCACGCCACACGAGCCTTGCCAGACCGCCAGCCAACCCTTGCTCCATAGTCTGTTTTTCGCAATATTTTTTTTTCCTGGTTTCGTTTTGTTTTTGACTTTGAAAATCTGGATCAACCCCACACAAAGCCTCCCTCCTCGCTTTTCAGCTCTTAAAAAAAAGGGTGGTTGAGCTACTACGTGGGCCTGCGCCACGTCCAAGGGCATTTAATATTCCGCAGCGATTTTGGTACTAGTAGTTTCCAAATACGGTTTTTGATCCTTCTTCTGCTCCACAAAATCTGACAGGATGCAGGCGAGAATTCCAAGTTTTCTGATGCATATGCGTGCATGCATGCGCTGCATGCTGGGAACGCTCGTCTTCATTTTTGCATCAACGCGGATCCAACGGTGTGCTGCCGCATGAAGCCGGAGACATACGCGGGACTATCACAATTATGCGGGATGACGAGCAGCACGGGAAATGCATTCACTTATCCCCATGATTGTTGATATTGCAACTTTCCCCGGTCGGCGAAGATGGAGAATTTAGCATTTGCCACAGTGTTGATGATGTTGGATTTAGCAGTCGAACTCCTGTGGCTTGCTTGCGACGGAGACCGGAGGATTATCCTCAAGTTCAGGGGTTGATGGTGGAGGAAATGGGGAGAATGATATTTGACACCCGAATGTAGACTCAGCCAATCGCCAGCCACTGTTTTTGTGCTGTAAGCCAGGTAGAAATAAAAGCGTAAAGACCATACAAAAATACTGGTGCTTTCAGCGCCAAGTATCAGCCATGCATGCTCTGCTCGTTAACTCAAAGAGTTTGCAAGTTACAGAGAAGCTCCGCTGCTACATGGCATTTCTATATAAAATACGGTTTTGGCGATCCTACTGTTGGCTGGCACTCTCTGAGGAATAGAGAGAATTTAAATGATATAAGGAGCTACGTGTCTCCACAGAAATGAGATGAAGCGAAGCCCAGGCACAGATGGGCCTCCCACAATGTTCCATTCGAGGGTCTCAGGTATTATTCTCAGGCGCTCAGAAGCACTCTCCCGTATCTCTATTTCCCCCAAGAGAGCTCCAGCGGTGCAGAGTAGAACTCCAACAAGACGTCTTTGACGCAGTCTGAAACAAGGCATGGAAGTTTAGCCACCATGCCTATTTTGAGAAAAAGCTAAAGTATCTGCCAGCTGCGAACCTTGGTAGGAATCTGGAGAAACATCACGTCACAATTACCAGTGCTCCAGAGCCGGGCCAGCCATGTTGCAACGTAGCGAGGGCAGCTTGTTGTTGCTGACGTTGAGGGGAAGGAATCAGGCCGCAACTTACACGAAAGCTTGCCCGTGCGGACGGCGTACCTGAAGGGGGAAGGAGGAGGAGGAGGAGGAGGAGGAGAAGTTAATACCAGCTTTGAGTATACTTGTAGACATCATGGTAGGATGTTGCCATGTGTGTGGCCAGAGAGACAAAATGGGGCCAAAGTTCGTCGTACCAGCGGCTTGGTGAAGAGGGCACTGTCGCTACCATTGCAATCCAAAGGCCATCGATCAATCAGCGACGGATCTGCACCTGTACTTGGCCAGCAGCTGTTGCCATGTGTTTCGTTCCTTGGGGAGCAGGCGATCTGGGGACAACTGTGCGACCTCTCGGCTCCGCGTAGAATCTTCTCCAGACATCGGCGTTGCTGTTGTTGTCGTCGTCGTTGTCGTCGTTGTCGTCGGCACTGATACAGTAGCACAGGCTAACTAACTCCTGCCCTGCTGGGTTAGCCGGGTTACGTAGGTAGAGCCTCCTCTGGCTGGCTTACATCTGGCCGACATCTGGCCTGCATTTCCTCGCTTCTTGATCTCGATCTCGATCTTGTCCTGTCCTTGTTCTGTCTCCACCTCCGTTGTCTTGTCTTCCTCGTCTTTCCCCTCTTCTTCCTCGTCTGCTTCCTCTCCCTCCGTCTCTCCTCTTCCACGAACCATTGACAGAGTGCCGCTTGATGTGCACTGACACGACATCCCGCAGCCACCTCATCCATCTTGCTCTCCACCCACGGCCCTCCAGTCTGCGGTGTTACTGGACGCCATTCGATCAGTGACAGGCCGCTTCTTCCAGCATGGCAGCTCAGCCAGCCCAGTTGCTGTTGATCGGTTGATCTGGACGAGCTAGCAGTAATAGTGCGGTTCGATGATTCGTTCTCCTGGCAATCGCTGATCCAGAACCTCGAAGGCTGAAGGGCTTGGGAGCACTGGTTCCACCGGTTTCTGCTCTATCAATTTTTGTGTCCTGTATCTATCGCCAACCTCCAATCAGTGATCCCCTTTAGCTGCACCTGTCCTCCTGCTTTCCCTCAATCTGGATCTCCCCGTGGTTCCGTTATCTTGGGTTTCCCTTAGCTTGGGCAGTGACTGCCCTTAACTCCCACACTACGCACACCATGGCGGAGAGATCTGATAATCATAACCATCAGAAATCTCGGCGGAGAAAGAGTTGGAGTGGATTATTGGACTCCGCCTTTACTGGTCCAGCCAGAGACCCTCACGGGCACGATCGATCTGTTTCCGATGGCTTTTATGCGACAACACACCGCTCGGGTTCGCGTCCGCTAAGGGCTCACCACAGGCAGCCAAAGAGCAGTGGACGGCCCTACAGCAGCGGCTCCCTGATTGCCACGGTAAGTTGCATTAATTTCCCAATTCGCCACAAAAAAAAATCCTTCGTCCCCTCTCTCAAACACGAATTCTTCGTCTTCCATCCATCCAACCTTGTGTATGAAACTACATACGTTGGATGTCTCCCGTAATGGGCACCCCGTTCCACCAATTATGGTTTTGGCTCCTCTAGTTATCGCTCTCAGTCCCTAATCTCTTTTGCGTCCTTTGACAGGAATACCTCGCCTCCCCGTCCACAGATGAGCTCTCGAATACGCGGTCGAAATCCTCTCAGAAATCCATGCGAAAATCCGTGTTTGGGTCCTTGCGCTCGCTGGGCTCAATTGATGATGACCAGCGCTCGACAAGAGCCCGTTCCAAAGCGTCCTCTGGTGATGAGGAAGACGTTGCCGCAAGCCTGGCCACCCTGAAATCCCTCTTAGGAAACCAAACCTTACATCATGGCGAAGTCCAAACAACAGGCGGCATGTGGCGGAAGAAGAGCCAGTACCTGGTGCTGACGGATACTCATTTGGTGCGGTTCAAAAGCCAGTCAAAAGCGGCAGAGCTTTTCCCCTCCATCCCGGCCTCATGGGGTCGAAATTCTCTGGTTTTGACTTCCACGAATCGGCAATCAATGGTCTCTATTGCCTCCTTTCAGGACCCGCAGTTGGCTACTTATGCGGACCTTGCCGCGGGGATACCATTGAACTCTATAGTGGCAGTCTACAAGCTCGATGATGGACGACCTTACTTTTCAATTGAGGTCTGCCATATGGACGAGCGATCCCCCAAACCCTTGTCTTTCCAGCTACAATTTAACGACCCGGAGGAATCTGGATTATGGCTAGCAGGTATCCGTGCGGCAGCTGAGCAAGCCCGAGCTATTGACCCGCCGATGTTTGATCAAAAGTCCGTAGAATACGTTGCGAGGGCTCTCGAACTTGAACGAGACTATGACCCGGATTGTTTCCGAATGTACAAGGTCGTGCAACGCGTGGCGACCAAGTCTGGTGGTAGATCATCGAATGATGACTTCGCGAAGCTGACTTCGAATGTTTGTTATCTGGCTATCGGCGTCCATAAAATCCACTTAATACCACTGCCGAAGTCGTCCAATCGGGGTTCCGTCACATCTATAACTGAGTTGGATATGAACATGTCATTTGGGTTTATGACGTTGACGTCCGTGTCGATACAGGGAGGCGATGACGCTTTCCAACTGGTATTCCGGTATGGTCTTCATTTTCATTGCCATTTATTTCTTTGTTTCTTTATTTATTAGCCAATTTCGTGGGTTGGGCTGGTCCTGTGTTTTATAGTCTCTCTCTTACTAGCTTCCGCTAACATGTTCGTAGTGCACCCCTCTGCCATCCCTTCGGTTTGTACCTTTCATCATCATTCTCAAGCGAAATCGCTATTCTAATGCGGCAGAGGGTGGAATGGCTTAGGCCGGAATGGCTGCAACAACCATTTGGCTTCAATGTCCCTCAGCATGTAGAAGATCAAGTCGCTCCATTAATGTACGTGGATCAAGATCATGGTGGATTCGATCGTACTCTTACAGCTTACTGCGCCGCCTACGATGTCGACACCTCAAATATCCGTTATACAATTGATTACGCCTGTGATGACGCTCCATGTTTTCGTTTACTGCACCCCGCGAGCGGTAAGGATCGGCGCAGGTATTCCGCCCTAGAACTTTTAGCTGTTATGCGCTCGCTACGATATAATGAATCCTTCGTTACGATCTCGTTTATGGATATCAATTTAGATGTTCTTCATAGTTTGCGCGACCCCTGTGGAATTGATATCGATGCTGCAACGACCCGTTCCAACCTCGCTATTCGACTTCCTGGTCAAGAGAATATGTCGATCCTGTCTCAGGAAATTCGCGCCTTGTGTCTGAAGAATAAACGCCTTCGGAAGCTGGATTTCTCGTTCTGTCTGACCAGACAGCCGGCTACGAACAGAGGGGCGCTTGACCCGGGCTGCGGAATTCCGGAAGCAATATTTCCCCTTTGCCGACGCCAGCTAACGAACGTGGATTGGGTCGTATTGAATGGAATCAAACTGGGCGACTCGGATCTGGATTATTTGGTTGATGCTGCATCACAGAAATCCTCTCACCTTCGAGCCCTTGAGGTCAGTCATTGCGGTATATCAATCCATGACCTTGACCTGATCCTTTCGACAATAACCGCTCAGGATAATACTTTAGAATCTGTTGATATCTCCGGTGTTCAGGGAAGACTAAGCCCTGAACTATTTCAACAGCAAATAGGCTATTTTGCACATATCCGAAAGATAAACCTTTCACACATCTCAAGGACCACAGGACCGGAGCCGCTTATTGCTCCAGAAACACTACTGAACTGGCGACTGGAGGAGTTGTCCCTGAGTCACACAGCGGTTAATGAACAAACTGTGGACTCGGTCGCGGCATACCTAGCAAGCCCTAGATCCAGCACACTTCGAAATCTGAGACTCGATCAATGTGGCCTGACCGGAAGAGATGTCGCGGTATTTCTCCATTCTATGACGAATGATTCGGGGAAGCCACGAAACATCCATCTCCACGTCAGTGAAAATCGCCTTCATGTCGAGTACTCTCTGCTAGTTGACGCGATTGCGAATGATAAAACCCCAACTCATCTGACGATGAGAATGATGGAATTTCAAAAAGAAGACCACTTCCGGCGATTACTTGATGCCGTGAGGAAAAATACGACATTAAAGTATCTTGATATTTCGAAGGCGTCCTTGCCATATGACGCTGGCCCGGAAACGTGCAAGGCACTCCGACTCATGTTTGAGGAAAATAACTCGATCGAGGAATTAGATATCAGCGGTGAATACGCGCACCTGGACGTTGCTCGGTTTGGTATTGGTCTAAACCAGGCCTTGACTGGTCTGAAGAAAAATACTTCGCTGAGGGTATTGAAGATTGAACATCAAAGACTGGGGCTGCAAGGGGCCAATACACTTGCGTCTGTGCTGGAAGAAAATGGAACCCTTTTCGAAGTTTACTGCGACAATAATGAAATCAATCTCCAGTCCTTTACAGTACTAGTTAACGGCCTGCAAAAAAACAAGAAGCTTCTACATCTTCCCTCAATGGTAAGGGACAGAGAGCAGTGTCTGGAGCGAGTTCGCCGTGAAATCGAATCCGTGAGCCAGAATTCCTCAAACACCGGAGGGTCCAAAACAACTACCATACGCAAGACCCTCCAGGCGGCTGTTTCTGGTGGAGCTACAAGCTCGGGGAACAAGTTAGTTAAACCAGCACCGGCATCGGTACAACAGGGGAATCCTCATACAACCACATTCTCCTCGCCATTAGCCTCTTCTGCCCCCATACTAGCCAGTACAACCACCCACCCGCATGCCCTACGGCACGATGTGCAAGCGGTGCTTCAATCGCTAGGCCAGAAATGGGATATTGAAGTCCAACGCCTTCAACGGTATCTGGTACGAAATTACAATCTGGCCCATGGCCTCGTCGATGAATACGGTAATGGCGCCGATGACGATGCGAGCGATGGCCGGCCAACTACGGCTGCCAGTCTCGGTACATTTCTCAACCAGCTCTCGTCTGAACAGACCAATCCAAACCAACCCGACGGGACATATAATGAAGAGCACTACAGCAGCCCTGAGAACAACGACCACAACGAAAACCTTACCATCCAAATCACCAAGACTAAAGCGAAATCGTCCACATCCGATGCCTCTCGTACCCACTCTTCACGCCCGCCCTTACTCAAATACCATACCTCTAGTGGCCTACAAACGTCTTCCACAAATCGCTCCGTCCCGACCCCTTCTCTCCCACACCTGGCTACCCCAGGAACTGCAAATAATAACAGCATCCGCACGACTAAGAGTAATAGTAATCTAAGCGGTAGAGCAACCACAAGCACACCCACCAACACGGGTACCCGGCTATCCGACACCACTTCCTCGTTTCGCGGGTTGCTCATGGCGCGGTCCATGGAGCGACGCGAGCAGAAGAAGGATAGGGGCCCTCTATTAACCCTCAGCCAGCCGCCCAGGCTTGATTGGAGGCTACCTGATTTGGAAGCATGAAAAAACAAATTTTTTTCAATGCTATATATTTTGACGCTTTTATTCGCATTTCTTTCTCGCTCGAATGATTGTGCTTCTTCTTTTATACCTTTTCCGTTCTCGTTTGTCTTCTTATCTCTGCTATTAGCGATTAATTTCTTTCTGAGGCCGGTTCTCCCAGGCGAGCGTGTCTAAGTCTGATATCCTTTCTACCTTTGTTCATCTGCCTATTTATTTTGTTTCCCCCCTTTTTTTTGCCTTTACATTTCCTCATTTTGCTCGCTTTATGTACAGGGGTTCTTTTATTGATATTTTTTTTCATCTCCTAGGTTCAAAAGGGGGGCTACCTGCATTTTATTTGACTTGTTTTCTATTATCTTGCTTTCTCTCGCCACATTCCACTCCCCCGTCGTCATATTATATACATACCACGCTATATACCTTATATATACTCTCCTTTTTTTTCCTGTTCGCTGTTGGGCGTCTTCTTTCTCTCTCTGTCTGAACATGTTTCCCCTTTTCCAATTTCTCTTTTGAAAACCGTCCAGCAATAATTATTTGCGAATGAACGTCCAGAATCATTCGCCGAAACCTTCGCCTAGCTTAGCTGGTAGGGCGAAGGCGAAACCAAGTCGGAAGATGGGGGTGGGACGGAACCCCATCAACTGATCGGATTTTTTTTTTTTTTTTTTTTTTTTGATTGTTGATTTTGCTGATTGGTAGCGGCGTAAGTAAATAAAGGCCTTCAATTAAAAAGAAGGCAGAGATCAACATCGACTTTGGCAGTTCTGATCTGATCTGATCCGATGGGATACTACTACTTACTATATATAAAACTAATGAACTGAAACAAACGCTTCCTTACTTTTCCTTACTTTTCCTTACCTTGCCTGCCTGCCTGCGTCGTTCGCGTATCCTCCCTTTTCCTTAATTGCAAATAGCAGAAGACCGATCTATGACTTGCGCGGTTGCACATTCAAGTTCCCCTCTACATAATAAATATAATACAATGCACAATGCAACCATAACCCCCCTCCTTTCCCTACCTAACCTTCCCCATTCGCAACCGCCAACTAACTCCAAACTAAACCCAAACCCCAGCCGACGGCCAGCTGATTGATCCACAACGCGCGACGGCGCTGGAAACTAAGCCAAACAAGCACTCAAGCGCTGTTTCTATATCTATATCTATATCTAAATCTAAATCTAAACTTAAGTATACGGAGATCCCAACCCAGCGATCCGGGTATTCCCATCGACGGGGGCCACGGGGTCCCCCTTAATATATCTAAGATAGATTAGATATAGATGTACCAGGTACTGCCAGACAATCGTGATTGATCTCAAGCACAAGTTAGTCATAAAAAGTAAGATATGCGCCAGACATCCAGACGTCCAGACATCAATTAATCAACCCATTTCCCCCGTCTGGTCTGAAGAGGGTGTTTTTCTCATTTCTTCATCATCTCCTTCCCGGCCCGGCCTGCATTCAACGGGGCGTGCCCCCTCTCTCTACACGTACTGTATATTGTGCACGTACGATCCAACGATTCAACCCAACCCATTTCGCCTCCTCGGAGGAGTCGCTGATGATATGGTCTAAATCAGGAAAGGAGTGACGTATATTACATAACATATGTATATAACTAACTAACTAATAATCTCCCTATAGGAAATCCAGTCTATGAAAAAGACTATATATATCTATATACATAGGTATAAAGCGAAACAGGCAGCGAATCGAAACAAGAGGAGGATTTGCCGTAGAAATTAGAAATGTTTATTGTAGTTATAACGGATGTGAAGATAAACAGTGAGTGATGCCGGAGAAAAAAATCAGGGGTAAATAAATCAAAAGGGGGGTGCTTTTTTTGTATAAAAAAACAACTCCGAATATCAACACCACGCACAAGACAAGACACGAGGCAAGGCGTGATTGAGGAGAAATGATAAGAACAGTAACTGCCTGCTCCTGCTCCTGACAAGAATCAGATTAAGATCAGATATAATATATTATTATTATTATATTTATATATTTGCGCCTCAGAAGCTCCAATGCTCTAAAAGGGAATTTAAAAAAAAAAAAAATAAAATAAAAAAAATTTGAACAAAAACTCAGAAAAGATCTGATGCAAGAAATATAAGGAAAAGGAAAAGGAGAAGGAGAAGAAGAAGAAGAAGAAGAAGAAGAAGAAGAAGAAGAAGAATTACAATATCTATAAAATCAAGAAATATGGAAAAAAGAGTAGGGGGAAATATTAAAAAATAATATCAATACCAGCCAAATACCAGCGAAATACCAGCCAAATAAGACAATTCCATAGAATATATGAAACATACCCGGATAAATGAAAACAGAACTCCTTCAGCCCCATCAGAGGCATGGGTACAAAAATTTGTGAAACTAAACGATTAAAATGACCCACGATAACACCGGCGTATATGCGCATTATTATGAGTAAACAAGAACAAAGTGTGTATGTACACCCGTAAGGCTGAAAAACAGAAGCAAGGTGGGCCATCGTTATGGAAAGCAAGGGAAGGATGTCGTGAAAGGTTCCTCTTCCTCTCCCTTTGCCCTCCCACGCGCTCCCATCCCTTTTCCCTAGGAACACAAAACACTTTGAAGACAACATATCAGAACAAAAATTGCTTCCGTAGCATGTCCCGCTTTCTCTTTCAATGCGGGATTTTGGCCGTGACATCAACACGCGCACGCAGACACATATTTATTCACATACAAATAATTATTAAGGGGGTGGTATAGAGTAGGTAAATCGACAAGAAAAAGAAATAGATGGCTCTGAAGAAAAAAGTAAGGAAAATGAACAGAAATATAAAATAAAATAAAACGCCTCCACTCCGCCCTGTTCTATTTCAATTCGTATTCTTTGTTTTAAATTGTTTATTCATTCCTTTCGGATACTGCCACTTTTGCGTCCACCGAGGAGTTCATATGCGACATCCGCATACCCGCCAGTCTCCTCGTCTCCGCGACGCTTCGCAGGACTTTGTCGGCGCAGCCAACCTGGGAATAACCGGCCGCCAGGTCGTCGGGAGGGTGAGAAGGATGAGGAGCGTTGTGGGATTGGTGGGTGTGGTGGCGGTGGCGGTGGCCGCCTGGAAAGGGGTGAGTAGCGGTAGCAGCGGGAGGTGTAGAAGAGGAGGCGGCCATAGGCCCACCAGAGGCAGAAGCCGAGTATGCCAGCGAGGCAGAAGCCGAGGGCCGTCAAAAGCATCCAGTGGCCGCCCATCTATTTAGAATTGGAGTTAGTTAGTCCCATAAACGAGCGGTAGATGCATTATTTTTTTTCTTTTTCTTTTTATTTTACGCACCCAAAAGATGAGCCTTGCATCTTTGCCATGCCAACTGCTGCCCTGATGATGTGTGAAGAAGCTCCATGAATGCCGGTTATACTCGTCTGGCATGAGTATGCGCACTCGATCGGTCATGGTGGGTTCGGAAAGCATGTATTCCTTCCAGATGACGGAGAGGAAGAGCGGGCCAGTCGAATACATCACGGTGATGTACGGTAGCGCCCAGTTCTTATTATACGCTTGTAAGGAGTCAATGACACGGAGGAAGAAAGGGTGTTGGGGGACAGCTCCCATGGCATCGTTGGAAATGCCTGTGGGCGCTGTGCGGCGGACCCAAGCACCGTAGGAGAGGAGCGGATCAAGGCGACGGTTGCAACCCTGTAATATAAGAAGCATTGGATTAGTTAGGAACTTACGGGCGCGACTGGCATTTATTTCCTGCAGGAGCAACAAAACTGGAATGACGAAAAAATAAATCCAAATCAACATACATCGTCTAGATCAATGTAGGTGCCACCATAATGTGCCAAGACGAAGTATCGAATCGCGTCCGCTCGCTGAATGTTGTGCGGGTAGTTATCAAAAGTCTCTAGGAACCAAGGGTATTCTTTCGCGATGAAATCCCTTGATTTCGTGTCCGTCCAAAGCTAATAGTGGTTTTATTTTGGCTTAGCTTCAATTGACCTTTTCATTTCCATTCTTTCACTCAAATTCTGAACGCAACATTCCGACAATTGCATTGAACATTTGCTCCAGCCAACAATTAGGATACGCTACATCTACAGAAAAATTTTTCTCCCCCCTCCCCAGAAAAAAGAAAGAAAGAAAGAAACCACCAAAACGCACCTTGTATTCGTAATCCGCGTGGAGCTTGATACAGCTCTGCTGAGCACCAAGCCACATAGCAGGAATTGATTCATTCTTGTATGTTTGATGTATGATCTTAGGAATAAGCTGCGGACGGGTCTCAATTAGACTCGAATTCGGCGAAGGGAGGTCCGAACGGCGAATCGCATCAGCCGAGGCATCTTCGATGAGAAGTGTCAGGAGGGTAAAGACACTGCGCACAAGGGAAGCGACTATGAAGAAGTTGACGACGATGAATATGAGGTAGCCTTTCCGCATTGTTGAGGCTTTTGGTACTGTTTCAACACCACCCAGCGCAGGTGGTGGGTCAGAGTTTTTGAAGGGCCCGCGCAAAATTGAGCAAAACGCGAGATTTCTCGCCCCCCAGAACCCAAGCAGGAGGGGCGTTGGTAGAGGCAAGAAATATAGCAATTGTGGCCGAGGCGTGTAGTCCCAATTGGCAGAAATTGCCTCGATTCACACAGGTGAGGGAGGATTTGTTGCGAAGCAGCGGTTGGGAGAAAACACGGGATTTTTGTTGCTGAAATTCGGAGGAAGGTTTGTCCTTTCTGCGTGGAAGGAAAGATACTAAAAAAAAAACCCCTGGTTGGTTCTTAGATCGACGCTGGATCGTTCGTGACTGGGATGGTGGAGAAGGCGGAGGGCGAACGTGGATGGGGAGTGGGAGTTCGAGAGGGTGCAAATGACGAACAAATGGCCAGGGATATTATATCTGAAGCTATGAAAAACGACAAAGGAAGGGAAGTGGCGCGCAGGCCGGATGAAGAGAGGCTCAACAAGAAAGGAGCGTCAGGGGATTGTTCAAAAGGCCCGAGGAGATGAGGACGGAGTTTGGCTGAACGACCGTGGATAGGATTGGTGCAAGGGCAAAGCCAAAACGACGAAGGAGTGACGGGTGCTTTCAGGGGATGATGGGAGGATCAGAAGCTAAACTAAGTTTAAATAAAATAAATCAAACTAAATCAAAGGAGTGGACGAATAGAATTGGGGAATGAAACGGCGACGAGATCTTGTTGGTGGAGGGAGAAAACAACCAAAAAAATAAAAAATAAAATAAATTAAAAAAAACGGAAAGGGCAAACAAATGACAAAGATGGATTATTGCTGGGAGCTGCGTCTGCACCAGCAGCGGCGTTTTTGGAGCCAGGGAAACTAAAGGAGTGACGGGTTTCTCGAGCCCAGGCACTAACTGCAATAGGGCGGCCAGGGAGGAAGAGTGGGGCTCAAAAAAATGAGGAGAGGCTGGACATAATTAACGGGGAACTGGCTGGCTTGGGACGACGGACTGTTGTTGCTTGGTGTGGAGGCTGAAGGCTTGGAGACATGGAGCCACAAAAGTCGTCGCAACCCGCTTTGTGAATATCGATTCCGTCCGATGAGTCTTATTATGATTATATTATTATAACTAGTTATATGTTCCTAGGCGTTCTCGGGGAAGTTTGTGCGTTGTGTAGCTGCCTGCGCTGAGAAGGATTGAATTGGACTATGGTCAGCTGTCAGCGCCGGGGGGGAGAAAATTAACGAGGAGGCGGGCTGGAAAAGGCTTGTTTTCTGGCTTGCTCTCCGTTTCTTTTCTTATATTGTTGTTTTATATATATCGAGATGGTGCGCGTTGGGGGATCAACCATGAATTGTAGAAAGGGAGACAATTAAAGGCTACTGGTAGAAATGGAACGCCGCCAAAGGCAAAGGTTTCACAGGGCAACTGTTCTGCTCAAACTTCAAAGCGGCGGCAGACGAACCGCGGAAACGGGAGAACTTACATAGTACACGCTGGAACGAGTTGCGAATGCCTCGGAAAGTTGAAGATCAGAGTTCAAGAAAGTGATGGAGCGATGGGGGTTAAAACGTGGATGAGAGCTTGACTCGGGCTTATGTGCAGGGCTATGCATGCTAGGCGAAAGGCAAATAAAAAGTTAAACGACGGGGGTTTGAGGGACACCCAGCAGGGAGTGGATACGCTACTTGACGCCTGGCAGCGCCAAGCAGACGATCAGGACGAAGAACAGAGAGGCTGAAGGGACAGACTGGTGCGTGCATTGCATGCCGCCGATGCTGCAGACGCTGTTGATGCCGACGTTGAGGTTGAGGTTGAGGTTTGACGTTGGATGAAAGTCGAACGCGTCCAAAAGAAGGACGGCAGAATCGCGGGTTGCTATGGGACTTCCATATTGGGCTAGGCGCAGCCTGGAAGGGGAAAGCGGTGGCGCAGGTGCTAGGCTGAATACAGTAAAGTGTGGCCACCGATCTTGTCTAGTCAGGGCTAGCGCGCTGCATGTACCCACCGCCCATTTTGTGGTGCGCAGGTACTTGGCCAGAGTTACCAACGGTTATCGCATATACATAGTATTATTCTCAGCAATATGTGCCTTTGATCTCTGTTATCAATTGAACCCTTGAGCCTTGAGCGCTTTCACCCGGTCTCAACTTTAATGTCCGTAGCTGCACATCCTAGGCTGCCTCGGGGCCCTTCCAGGGCCCGACCGCGCGGAACCTTGCTAGCGCAGGAGGCTTCATAGCCGTCACTTGCAAGCTGCATGCGCGCTAGCACACCCCGGCTTTGCTGGTCCTGCACCATGTTGTGCATCGACCGCCTGAAGGAACCTTGGAATGATGCCAATTTCTTTGCTGCCACGGTTTCCGTCACGGTTTCTTGCCTTTTGCACTGTGCTACGATGTACATACAGAATCATGGTACTTCTTTGAGGCACAGTGGGGATTTGCCGATGCTGATGGCCCAGTTACCGTGCGCGGTTTCTGGGGCAGTTGATTCAACCACAGGATGTTGCGCCCGCTGGCTTTCATTTTGACAAGTGCAGCATTGCCACGGAGACAGATCAATCGGTTTTCCTGCCTAATATCTGCGGCGCATATGCTCTCCCAAGTGTAATACGTAACCTGCACCGCACAGTTCTCGTGTGGTGCATCATGGTCGTCGTCAGTCAATGCTTGCGAAAGTGCCTTGAGCACGCGGCGGGATACTTGGGTGACGCACGCAGGAGAGGACTTGATCAGGCCAAGGCGGCTAACTGATAAGATCCGTGCAGCTGAGCGTTGTTGCTGCTATTTTTAGTGTGGATATCCCAACAGGCGTGGAGGAAGAAATTTTCGCCACCACTGGGCTCCAGAGAAGACTGAGCACTGATTCCACTGCTTTTGGGACTGATATTACCTATTAAACTGGCGCTATTATGTGATTTGATTCTTCGTTGCCTCATCGCGCTGCACTGCACTGCAAGGCAATCTTCATAATTTTGAATGCCTTTCAATCAATTCAGCTGAATATTCAGTCCTCAAATGGAGTTTCTTAGTCAAAGTAACCGGTGACGAATGGTGTATCTAGCCGGCGAGTCACAAGAATCCCAGACCTCGCCCTGCGTATCCAGGTATGGCGCAGCACACCGTGGCATGGTTTGACAGCGGCGTTAGCCAGTCAACATCCTTGGCCTGACAACAACAAAATTTTTCCAAGGGCAGCGTCGTCAGAAGCGCGAGGCTAAATTTGACGGCTCTCAAGAACCCACAGCAAGAAACTCCCCACTTCCCCTGTGAAGATTTGAGCCCTGCTCGTTCGGATGACCGAGCGACCTGACAGAACCAACCACGGCCGCCACCACTCATCCAAGCAACGGAAGTGCTCCGGAATCAGCGATGGTGGAAATGATGCTGGAGTTTTGTTGCAATGGCATCTAGTTACTTCAAGTTCTATTCGCAAGCTTGCCTCGAGAAAATCGGGCTCGATGAACACGAAATAAAATGAAGATGGAAAGTACCTGGTTCGTACTACGGAGTCGCGCGATTTGAGGTGCATCCATGGATGTTATAGATGGGGGAAATCCAACCTCACCTCAAAGTCAATACCAACACAGATTTCTCCACGCAACCCAACAATCCCTCCACCAGATCCAGTTACTGGACGATAACAATTCCTTCCCGGCATATGTACGCTTTCACGGGCTCTGTCCGACCTGTCCACCGGCTTTCCGCGAAGCGCACTGTCCCGCAATCGAGAGCGGGGGCCGGACCATGATGATGTCAGGCCAACTACACAGGGGAGCAAACGACGTTTGCGTAGGATGGAAATCGAACATTTTAGATGCCAGGGGTCAGAGGGGAATGTGCTAGGCTTGTAGATTGGCTCGTCATGTATCCGGATGTTGTCGCTACAGAGTTCAAGCCGGGGTGTTTACTTCAGATTACGTTTGACGAAGTCTTATCGCAGAGCGGAATGGAAGCAGGGGATGTATTTTATATCTGCTTCAATCATTCTGAAGATAGAAAAAGGTAAAGATGAACAAATAAACAAAAAGAATTAAGAGCATGGCTCGATGGAAAGTCAGCATCCTCCCTCATTATTATTATTGTTATTATTCCCTCTGAACTATCGTGGCTTCCCTCCTCCCCCCCAAACGAAATGATCCGCCTCGGAATCCCCAACCAGTGAATCCTCCTGGAGATGGCGATATCATCGATCGTGATATCTCCCTACGCGACAAGCGCTAGCTACCACACAAACAAAAACAAGTTTTATTGTCTCAGTGAGCCTGCCAAGGCGGACGCAGACCTCATTCATTCATATACTTTCTCACTCACTCACTCACTCACTCAGCCACTCAGCCCGAGCTCATCACAAACAGCCCGCAAAATCGCTCACACGAGGCTTTCAAGCTCCCGTGAAAAACCGCGCACACAGCCCATCCGGGGGACTCTTAACAATGCCAAACCGCGAAGCATCCAAAAGGGCCAGACGGAACCTGAAAGTATGCCACGTCATGTCATGGGGCGGGCAACCCACGACATCAATACACACCTACCTGCTAACATTGGATTCCGGGAACATGTGAACAGGGAACCATGGCCGTGCCGTTGCGTTACGGTGCCCACCCGCCTGCCCGGGTGAGCGTGCCGGGATTCGAAGGCGGTTGATCAGGGTACGTAGAAGCCGGCATGGGCATTGCGTGGCCGTTTACGACCGAAACCCTATCGCTGCCTCTCGTCTCCCCGGTCCCCCGTGCGCTTATGAGTTTCGTAAACAATGCGCGAACATATTCGGCCGATGGGGACATCACACTTTTTGCTCGGTGCGGAAACGGGCGTCGAAGCTTCTGACGAATAATTGCCGCGTACGGAAATTTCTCCAGCGGAACGGGATTACCGATAGCCGACGGCAATGGATGGAACATTTTGGTGGCGCAAACGGCTGATTGGGTTCACGGCCGGAATTAGGCTGGCGGTGAGAAGATCGGGCCGGCCTATATTGATAAGGGTAGAGAAGCCGTTTCAATTCAGTGAAGAGATAAAAACATTTTCTTATTACATCAAGCCTTGGAAATACAACATGTCACGGAAATAGCTGCTGGGTCTGCAGCGTTCGAGACATTTCCTGGAATTAACCTCATCGGGTAAGAATCTTTACCATATTTGATGTGGGAGAGAAAAGATATGGCAAGACTCTTTCTGTAGGCAACACCTTTTTTTTTTTTTTTTTTAACAATAACAAAAATGGCTCTAGGTGCATGTGGACATGGGATGGATGCAAGGCTTTCAGCGCAGTTGGCTTAAAGTTGGTTGGAGAGACGTAACTAATAGTTACTAATAGTTAGTCCTAATACTACTGCTGCTTGGAGCTTTCTTAAGCGCTTACTTTTATATCGATCGCCAACTCAAATACAATAGTGTAAGTCTTGGGCGTCAAGAAAAAAACTACGTCGTGCATTACTAGGACTTGCTTACACCCGGGGGTAGTGCTTGGGGTGTCGCCAGAGCCTAAGCGCCGGGCGAATTTTCCCTTTATATGTATGTATGTACACACGGCTTTTAGCATTGTTTTGCTTCTACCGGACGTTTGTTCCCACAAGAACTGCCAGGGTCGCAAATCCTAGCTCTATCGGAAAGACGCGGCATAGAAGAATGGCACTGATGGAATGAAAGCGTAGAGTTTTACGGATTCCCGTGTTTGAGGAAAAGCAAGTTGATGTTGGGTCGTTGATATTTGGAAGTTCAAAGAGTGTATATACTTAATGAGTGTAATCGAGGCTGTAAGTAAAGCATGTTGAACTGCTTCAGCAAGCCAATGGAATTCCCTAACCGTTGAAGATAGAGGAAAAAAATTAAGGAGACCAAACTGAAACCTTACTCCCACAACTTCTTCAGTAATCATCTCCTCGGGAAATCACCTCCTTGCAATTTGGCCGGAGCAAAACAGTCTGTTACCGAAGATTCTGTTAGAATTTTTCACGTTAACTAAACAAATATGAGCCTACTTACATGCTCAAACTGCGCGACGTAGGATCCAGGAACATCCACGAGCGGCGCATAAGACTGAACGATACCATTAGTGACGAGCGATCTCATACCGAGATGGTATCTTTGTACCCCCAACCGCTCAAGGTAGCGCCTGGAGAAAACCAGAGTCCCGAAATTCTCCTTGATGGTCTTCAGTAGCGACTTGGCCGAGGAGTGATGAAGCCCGGTCGTGCTGGAATTCTCATCGTACCCGTACCCGTAGATTCCGGTGGCATCATCGAGATACGCTTTTCCGGTACTGCCGAACGTTTCAATAGCGAACACGTCGCCTTCTTCCATGCGCTGGTTGGTCTGTGTCTTCACGAATGGGACTTGTTTGTCGCCGTGGATCTTGTAATGCAGGATGTTATGACCCGTGATGTTTCGAACCGCCTTTACGGGGATGACCTTCCGGTTGAGCTCAACCTCGTAGCTCTCCATTACCTCTTGGATTGCCTCACTGATGTGAGCGATCCTGGAGTCAATGCCTGCTTCCTGATCTTTCCTTTAGCTTTTGCACAGCCCTACGGTGTAAAAGAAAAAAAAAAAATCGATTCACATACCTTGAGCCCAGCATTGGTCGCATCCTTGACAGCTGCAAGCAAATTATCGTAGACTGGATTGAAAGCCATGGTAAAGGCGCTATCCACGATCCTGCCGTTGACATGAACTCCGAAATCTATTTTCAAAACATCATCATACTGGAGGATAACCTCCTTGGCACCAGGATTAGGGGTCCAGTGAGCTGCGATGTTATTCAAACAGAGGCCGGTGGGAAAGGCCATGCCGGCTTTGAGAGCGTCTCCAGTCTCAAGACCTTGGTGATTAGTTAGTGCACGGACGCCGTCCTCAATTTCTGGGGCAAGCTGGCTGAGCGCAATGCCGGGTTTGATGATTGTCTGCACATACTGGCGAACTTGGCGATGGACTTCGGCAGCTTTGCGGTAGTCATTTAGGAACTCATCGTCCATAGCGTTCAAAACGGATAGATGACGGAGTTCTTCAGTAGTGGTGCGCTGAAGATTGTCATTGTCCGTGCTGTATTTGACAATTTCAGCTTCCGGGTATCGCTGACTGCGAAAAATGTTCGCTAATGCAACCCTAGGCGGGGTGGTCTGTAGGATTTCCAATTCCTTTGTATTCTTCTTTTTCTTTTTCTTCTTTCTCTTGTTTCTCTTCTGGCCTGATCTTGGGTTAGCTTCAAGTATACGGCAATTTCCCGAGTTGGCCTACCATCGTTGCCAATTTGACCAACAGCTTTTAGGTCAGCTCCAGGCTTATCGTCGTCCTCATCCTCCCCGCCTTCGCTTTCTCCTTCGAGTGAACCATGAACGAGTCCACTTGCTGCGGCTTGCTTCGGAGGATTGATGGCATCAATTGCGGGGGGTGATGATGACTCTGGGTAGGTGGTTAGAACGGCATACTAACAACAAAATATATATTCTACTTATTTCCCATACCATTTGGGCCCCGGCGATGATTGTGCGGTGTCTTGGATCCCATGACAGGCTTCCGTTTGTATTCATAAGGGGTTTTGATTGTTGATGGTTGATGGGACTGTCTGTGAGAAGCCGTTGGAATCTTAACCAAAGCTTGGCGCATGCTTTCCCCCTTTTGGGCAAGCCATGATGCAGGAATTAATATTCGTTATACGCTGTAAGTTGTTCAATGGAATTGATTCTTGAATTAAGTGATGAACTCGCTGTTTTCAATTTCAAAGGCGAAATGGGAACCACCAAAAAATGATCAAAAAGTATTGTAGCTTCCTGAGGAGGCAAATCTGGGGTATATATATATCTTATTATGTGTATCCTAAATCACTGCCTTGCACCCTTCTGACTCCTGATCATGACAAGGATAGTAATGAGAATGATGAAATTCCCAGGAACCGCCCGAAATAAACCTTCAGCCAACCCGATTGCCAACCCTAATCCCGGTTCCCAACCCCGATCCGTAGCAGAAAACGGAGTGATATCAGAACTGTATATGAAACGGACGGAGTAGGATAAAAGACGTGTGTTAAAAGAAAAAACATCCGTGAATATAAAACTGAAGAAGGCGAGGAAGGAGAAAGAGGAAAATTGGAAAAAGGGCATAAAAGGAAAAAAAGGAGAGGAAGTAATACGGTGGGGGGGGAGAAGGAGAATAAGAAGAGTAAGAAACTAGAACCAATAGCCCTATTCACCTAGATATTACTGTAGTGTCAACAGAAAAGGAAAAGGTGAAAAGTACAGTAAATGGCGAACATGCTAATCGATGTTTCCTATCGTAGTAATGAGTCTGTTTCTTCGTGATGAATCACCGTTGAATTCCAATCATAATCGTATCGTGCCTGTCCCTTTCCTGACCAGTATCCCTTGAGATCAGACCCAAAAAATACAAATTATATTAAGACGACATGGCACTCGCTCCGCTGGAAACTGTGGAACAGAGCAAACTCCAACGCCACAAAGAACACCACGAAAAAAGGTACACCGGCAAAACCGCTCACACTTAGAAAACGTCAGAGTTAAAACGTTGCATCCTAAGTTTTGGAGCAAAACGCAAATCAACGGTGCCTTCAAATCGCCGGCTACTGCCCACGATCACTGCGTAATCGTAAGGTGACTCGTAGGCGTAGCTATGGGATGGCTGGATTGTCACCGTGTTGTAGGGCAATGGTGATGGTTTCGGCCTTTCAGCGGTGACTGGTGATACGGGCTTATTTACGGTGTACTGGTTGCGCGGCTCGATAAGTACTGTTGTGGCTGTCACTTGCTGAGTGTAGTAATCCGTGTAGGATTCCGCGTAGAGCGTGACTGGGTTTGTTCGGGTTGGAGTCCGCGGGCTTCGCGGGCTGCGCGGGGAGATTTCTGCATATTCAAGTGGTTCATTTCGTCGGTGTGATTTCGGTGATATTATAGGAATGTCGTCGTCAGTGGCCCATCGGGGTCTGATGATTTTGTAGTTATATGACGGGACCGATTGGGAGTATGCATGTCGTTTTGGTGAAGGGCCGCGATTTTGCGCAGGCAAATCTGATTTCGATGGGCGATGGGACCTGCGCATTCGAGGGGACGGAGAGCGTGCCTTTGTTTTATGAATGGGGGAGTACGACCTGCGCGGTGTTGCCCGTACGCGTGGTCCCCGGGAGTGAGCTCGGAACGTTGATGGTCCAGGGCTAGTTCTTCGTCCTGGAAACGGTTTCTCTGGGGCTGGGGCTGATCTCTCATAGGGCGGGATACCAGTGGCTTTCTTCTCTTTGCGCCCACGGGTTTCCCCTCGCACATACATGTCCCACTCCTCGCGAATATCGTCATATTTTTGGTCGAAAACTCTCCTCTTTTCGTCATCTTGGAGGGTTTCGTACGCCTCTTGCACCTGATAATCAAACACGTTAATCATCAAGCATTCTCTGGCATATACGACAATGGATCAAGGAACCTGAATAATAAACAAACCTTGCAAAACTCATCCGACGATATCCCCGGATTCTTATCCGGGTGGGTCATCAGTAATTTTTTCCTGTACGCCTTTTTGATCTCCGCCGCCGTGGCGGATTGCGTGAGACCAAGGACCCGATAGCAGTCTATCTCAGTTGGCGCCTCCATTGTTTGGGAGTAATCTTTGGATTCAGTTCCTAGGTATACAATAGCATAAGCTCAGGAACGGAATGGGAATATTAAAAGGTGTTGAGCCGGAGTCAGGAAGACAGGCAAAATGGAAGCCAATAGTGTATGAACACGAAAGGATTGGCAAATGAAAGGCGAATTTTCGGTTGGGAGGATACCTTATTTATACTCACTTGATGTTTTTCTCTGCCTCACTCCCTACAACCCCGCCCGATGTAAACTGCTTGTTTAACTTCCAGGGAGCTTCGTGCCAATAGCTTTTGTTCGCATCTGTATTTCGCTACATCACGGCCCGTTGACTAAAACAGACCCTGAACTTGGGCAGAGTTGGCGTTAGATATTACCTTCTGTGGGATCAGAGCCTTTGGATTCTGGTGCAAGTTGAAGTAGTTGACACCAAACTGGCCAGGCGGCTCAGGTTGATTGGCTGTTGCTCGAAGAAATCTTCAGGACAAGCAAGCTTTGCATTATGTTTTGTAAAGTCCTCAGTCGTCAGTCGTCAGTTTACTCCGCGATGACTTGTTCAGAAGATATTAATAGGCGGTGACAGCCAGTGTCTAGCTTGAAAGAACAAAATGAATCCTTGAACAGCCAGGTTGGAATCTAAATGTACGTCATATGTTCCAAAACAGCCCAAAATTCCAATAACAATTCGACATAGCATGATTGAAAAGTCAAAGAAGTGCCGGTAGGAGAGAGGGTGTCACCCCTCTCTGCGGTTTTTTTCAAAGTCGATGTGAGCATTCCAACCGCAAGACGTGGTTATTTGTTTCTGGATATCCCTGGAAACAAAAAATCACTGGCTGATATAAAATGGTTGGCTTGTTTCGCGAACCGCCAATCAACTCCGCCCGCAGCATGACACCATTTGTCACACCTGCGGTATCAGCATCGCAGATTGAAGCTCTTCGAGCTTGAAGATATTGTTCAAAGCTGGAGACTCTTTGACAATGGAAACCGGAAGCCTGAAAACAACCATTCAGGAGTGGATATTCAAGCTGCCTTTCTTTCACTCTAAGCATGCACCCCGGTTCAATGACTTGGTGAGGCGACTCAATGGCTGAAAACGGGAGTTTCCATTGGCGCTTTTCCAGCTGCAGGAGAACAAATCCTGGCCGATCTGTCGGGCATGAACGGTGCCTGACAAGCATGCTCTGGAAGTTTGACTTCGCAGGACGGCCTCGCAACAATTATTTGCTGGCATGCTGGTGTTGGGCTGCTGGGCAAGGGGAACAAGTTGGGCAAAGTTGGACAAGTTTTCGGCGGCAATCTCGTCAGTTAAATCATGTGACACACTTGCCCTAGCTTCCAAATATTCTCGACGAGGAGTTTCAACGCAATAGCAATATCAGCGGGTGAAAGCTTTTCCCATTTCAACTTTCTAACCTGGCAACACCACCTTGCTGAGGAAGGCTACTACGAGGACGCCCTTCTGCGGCCGCCTCACTGCCTCCTGGCGCCCCGGCTGGATCTCCATCAGTACCCAGCTTCGGATGAGTAACTGCTATCTGTTGCGCGGATACGAGAGATTTCAGTTTTTATCTCCCTTCTAACACATTAGTCGCTTCTGTTGAAAGACGAGGCGATGTCTCAAGTGAGCAGCACTTGAGATCTCGAGCAAGAGCACCCCACCCTGCAGATCGTGGAGAATTGCTAGCGCGCTTACTTCGAGGCGGTGGTCAATAGTCTGATAACTCGCCTCGTCAAGCCTCGCGTCCGCTGTCTTGAATCATCATTAGTGACTACCAGATAACGTACAGGAGGCAAAGTGTGCGCTAATAAGAGCCAGCACGTTTTGGACAGGATGCCCAGAAAGTTGACCCCTACAACCCTGTGATGGGTTCGCAGAATTTTTGCCTTATTCGGTTTTCTTCATGCGCACCAACCACATGGAGATTACTGCACGGCCATAACAATCGAAACTTTCGAGCAATGAAACAAAACATGGTAGGCTTTACGGCCGTTCGAAATTTATTGCCTGGTGTCCTGCTTAAGACAGATAGATAAGCGGTTGTCCGGATCATTTTCTATTCTCTGATACAACTCTATGGATCTTGGATTAAACTGAGGCTAACTCATTGAACCATTGAATATATCTTGATTTTTGCAGTACGAAGTGAAAATCTTTCAAATGCAGGAAGAATATATTCACCCCTCTCAAGCAATCTAGGAATCATTAAACCTATCCGATCGAAAACAGCACTGGGAATCGCTATGATGACAACAACAGCCCTTTTGCGATCGGGGTATGTATGTATAAGGCAAGGCGAAAAGGCCTTGGAAGAATTCGACAATTATGCGGCAATGCAATGACCGTATGAAGCGAAGAGAATATGAAATAGAAACCATGGCAATTATACAACTTTTCTTTTTCATGAGATGGCAAGTTCTCCGCCCAAACACTATCACGCAGAACGAGAAATACACATGTGGGTATCCAAGAGCTCGTTAAAATAGAGCAACAGCGATAAAAGCCAAATCTAACAAAAGAAAATGGGTCTGCGGTGTCAAGAAAAGCATCACCGTTGGACGAAACCGAAAGCCGAGGTCGTGATATGAAATATGAGAAGACGCAAAGCGAACATAATGAAAACTAAGGACTCAATTCACAAAGCGCCATATCTCAGTTTTAAAACTTAAAAAAAATAAAAAACGAAAACAAAAAAAGAAGAAAGAAAAAGAAGAAAAGAAAACGATCCTTATAACAGGACACCGTCCGGTACTAACTGTTTATTACTCAACAAGCAGTCATGACGCCCGTTCGCCTCGCACATGGCGACGAAACAGGCGAATATTCTGGCGGACTCATGCTGCTGGTAGCTGATGTTGTCGATACCAATGTATCGCTTCGTCCCTGCCGGGGCCCCATCGACAATGTTGACGAGCACTCAGTGAATTCCGCCTGTGGGGGTGCGATGCTTCGCGGCGTGAAAAACTCATCATAGGGGATTCCGGCCCGCTCCAGGTCACCACGCGCCGCAGAAGCTTCTGCGAGACTCTCCGTGGTGGATACCTGGACGGGCAACAACAGAGCCAGCGTGGGAGCAGTCAGGTTCGCGCTGGGTGTGTGGTAGGAGAGTGAGATTTCGAGCGCGTAGGTGCGCGACGACAGACAGGAGTGGAAGGTCGGGAGGTACGCGCGGGTTAACGGCAGGCTGATGGGCACCAGGATGGAGGCCGTATAGAAGGTTTCCCCGGCGTACCCAGCGCTGGGGCCTGTCAGGGACTCGACTGAGCTTGTAGATTGGAAGGAATCCCTGCGACGGAGAATGGATGCCGCAGGAGAACAGGATGAGGTGCCGGTGTGCTTCTGCCACGTTGCGGAGGCGACGCAGCGCGATGCGAGAGGGACAGTTTGCGTATAGATACCTCTGTTGAGCGCCCAGTTGAGAGAAGAGTTCTTAGCGGCGATGTCGGCCCAAGGCTGCGCCGAGAAGAATGTATTTGCCTTTAGCCTTGTCCATATCCTACCAAGACGAGGTGGTTGTTGCTCCTCGTTTGTGGGGTCGAATCGAAGGTGGACTGTCACCATCGTGCTGGGAGTATCCTCTATCGATTGAGTTGTAGTAGATGATGTTGGGACGGGGATCGCTTTTGGTTGAGCTGCGGCCATAACAATTCGGCCTATCTTGCCCCTAAGGGAGCCCTTTTTCACGTCCTTTTCTTTTCGCATTTGGAACTCTTCGCTATCGTCCGGAACGCTCAGCGGGGGAGCTTGATCCATGGCCGGAATGAAACGAACTTTCTCTTTGGCGTCCACCATCACTTTGAAAGAATCATCCTCCGGACACTTTTTAAACACTTGGGCCCTGACCGCATACTGAATTTGCGTCATCAGCGGAGCCATATCATCCAGAATCGTGCCGCCGTTCCCTGATATCGTTGGATCACCGAGTGATGGTGGCAAAAGGGTGTGTGCCGCGTGGACTTGAGGATGGTTGTGTTTATGATTGCATGAACTGGGGAGCAATTGCTCAGGGACAACAAAAGTAAAAGGGAATGTGTATGTTCGACCAGCCTCGAGAATTCGGTTCTGGGGATATTGTTGTTCATCAATTGGCTGCGCAAGGCGCAAAAACGTGTGGAACGCGGAATACCGGCCAATGGCGGGTCCTGAGACCCCAGGTGATTCTATGACAGTTCTAGAGGTGCCTATTGGATCGGGCTTAGCAATGTTCCCAAGGCCCCTTATATGGTTTGGGTCCGGATTTCTTCTACCTTCGAAAGTGATTGACAGTTTCTCAAAGGAAACATCATAATCAGATCTGATACTAACTTCTCCGTCGATTTTGTCAAGAGTTGTGTATGAATTGACTGTGGATGCCTGCCGATCCTTGAGAGAAATTCTCACCACGGGTTTCGAGCGTGGGGAGAAGGCATTTAAGTTGCGGTTCATAATTGAGACAGCCATCATACATGTACCGCCTGTATCTCAATCAAGCTGGAGGGGGCACGGCAGGCCCTTGCGGCACAGGAGAAAGTTGGATACAGCACAAAATGGATTAAGGTAAAGCAATTGAGACACAATTCGGAGAGCTACAGGGGGAAAACGTAGGTTGATATATAATAATTGATGAAAATTTACTCTAGAATCTGTGCTATCAAAACATGTCAAAGGAGCGAGCTCTTCCATGTCTCTTATAGATCCGGACGCCGCCTAAAGGGAATAACTACTCTCTTGCTGCTCATTCATCTGTCATCCAGGCCCACAAAATGACACCGCAGGGCGTGTGCGTCATGGATAGGTTGGAGGACAATCTGGAATATAGGAGATATCCTGAGTCATCGGACTAGCTTCGTACATGTACATGTAGCTAGAGGGCTCAACTCAATCCGCCCATCGTTTAGCAAGCCAAGAACACTTTGGCTCGAGACTCCACAGTTGACCAGCCGAAATCCCGATTGATGATGGACTTTTTCAGGAACACTGGACCTACCCCGCCAGGGTATGACGAACGAAAGAGAATACCACCAAAGCGGCACTTCGACGGCCTCCCCACAGGCTGGTTTCCACCGTTTTTATTGTAGCGGAGATATTATCCTCTGAAGGCACAGGTAATAATAACAGATGGCTATGACATCCACGTCAATCGTATCTCTCTTCCCTCTTCCTTTTTCGTCTAAGCGTCTCGTATCTTCGGCCTGCAGAACCTAATTGATAGTCCACAGTGCCATCAATGACCAAATCATTGGATTAGTCAGAGAAGCCACTATGAAGCGTTCTGGCCCCATAATTATTAATCGCAACTCGTGAACGACGCCATTGAGATTTATGACATCCACTCCATACGCAGGATTCATCAGTGGACGTGCGCTATCACACGGCATCTGATCAATTCGCCAAAGGCGTTGATCTAAGCCGTACACAGAAATCCGGATCATGTAAAGGGCGTGCCAACCAAAGGAGGAGATGCTAGCAGCATTGAGAAAGGGCGTGTGCCCAACCGCGCCGATTTCGCAATCGGGATGTGGAAGGTTTCTCCATTTAGCTTCCGACCTATGCAGATTTTGGGCTCCCCCGTGTCATCCAGACGTTATCGGAGGATATTCTCAAGCGGCGTTGCAGATTGTGACCGTGGTGAGGACATTAATAATGATACCTGATGCGCGGTGTAGGGTTTTCATAGGTCCTTGACAAAGAAGTCCTGGAACCAGTTTGCTGATTAATTCAACGTGCAGAGGGAGTGAATTGGGCAATTTTGTCAAGTTTTCCTCATTTCACAAATGATGCTTCTAAATAAGGTGTTGAGCCTTGCCGCCCCACAATGACTGACGTCATCCGTCGCGACTTTTTAAGAGGCCAGCGCTTCAGAAAATATTTTTGATATTGAGCTTCGCAGGCTTATTACACCAGCCGTTGGGTTGAAGGATGGCATCGCCCCTGCCGATGAAATACATGCAGAAGTCCGGAGCCAGCACTCTAATGATACAGCTGGCAGTCCCATCGGTAGGTTTTCACTCTGATTTCTCTAATAAATTAAAATTCTTTATAAACTTTTATATAATAATATTCACAAATTCTTTTATATCTAGATTTAGAGGCATCTTTGGCTTATTCCCCGTAGACCATCTCGCAGGGAACAGGAGCAAGAGGTCAAGGCTGCAAGAGTTCCAGAACTGCTCATCAATAATACCACTTCGGCAGATCTCTCTCATCAACCCAGAGTCCCCATCAGTGATGGCGGGTCGGAGGGGGTGTCGGACTCAGGTGCGAAGCGACGGCGACCGGAGTGTGGATGGGATCCGCACATATTCCACTCGTGGAACGAGTTCCAGTCGTGCTACATCTATATCTCCTGTATCTGGCCACCACGACGCGAAGGCGGGGCGAGGCAGATGCGGCCGAGGTGTGTCGAAACTGAGCCCTCTCCAGAAGACATGATCAGTCCCAGTCCGAGCGCGTAGAGTCCATGGTTGCGGGTGTGACACCTCCCCTCTCTGATGGTTATGTGAAGGAGATGAGGGACTCAAGACATCGCAGGGGCAAGACACAAACAACTTCGCCAGACCCGCCAGCACAAGAACTGCGCATGTTCCAGGCGCGGAATTCCCCGTCACTCAGGACCATGATCTGCCAGAGAAGAACGAGAAGAGCATACAGTGTGGAGATGGGGCCCAAGCGTGTCCGATTCAAGTGAACTGGAGCAGCTACGCTTTGCTTGGCGAAGTGTAAAACGCCCGTAAGACGTTACTATTTCAATTGCATTCTGGAATGAAATTGGCTTATCCAATCGCGTGCTACTAGCCTAGTTAGAAGGCTTGCCAGCTGAGCTCTGCCAACCTCCTACGGGATTATAAACCTCCGATTCTCCCTCACTCCTTGTATCTAGATGGAAGGGTCAAGCATTCTCCAGAGAATAGGAGCCTGAGAGTCTTATTGTATTGCTATTACCCTTCTTCTTGCCAGAGCAGCGTGCAGCTTGTATGTGTAGGTACTACCCCATCAGGGAACTATCAACGAACGGAGCCGACTCCGAGGGCCTGCTCAGGCATTTCCTTAACACACCCGATATCTAAAGATACAATGCAATTTTTCGGTCAACAGGAAGCACTCCCTAATGGAGGGGGCCTTCTTGTTTAATAATCCGCCAGCCGCACAGACTCATGAGCTCTACCCGTGTTTCTTCCATTCACTCAATGAAAAAGATAGAAAAATAAAAATAAAAAAAAGACAAATCCAGCAGAGACCGTGAAATGAGCCAATGTCCCAAGCTTAAGACTGTTTGGAGGGGCGTTCTCGTGGACGTAGCCTTATCCCCTTAATTAATTCCAAACATCTAGGCAAGTTAGCTTGAAAGAGAGTGCTTACCCAGGGAAGCACTAAGAACTTCACTTCTTTGGGATGTGGACGCTTGTCCCCTGGCCTTGCTAGTTGAAGCAAACGGCTGTGAAATGATTTCTCTTGTCGCCGCTCGTATGCTGGCTCTCTTTGGCCTTACGTGTCAGCTATAGAAAGAAGAAACGGGTCATGTTTATAACCTTGCGCAAACGTCTGCCGTGCCCTCAGGCAATGTTCCCGTAAAAGATTTCAGTGAAGCAGAGAAAGGTTTCGCTACTGTATCAACAGCTAAATTGGGACGCTCCCAAATCGACGTCTTTGTGGCCACGGAGATAGTAATATTGACCCCATTTCTCGTAAACGAGTCCACCACTTTCTTGGAAATGATCTTGTTGTAAGACATATGTTGGTCTAATGTTGGTCTAAGTTAGGTGATGATAGGTGGCTGATGGTTGAAGTAGAGGCAAGGTTGGGACCTGTTGAAAATAACTAGAGCAACCTTCAATAAATGAATTATTTTGGGAAGTGCTTCCTGAGGAAGTTGGTACTCCTTACAGCTTTGCCGCCCTGCGCACTCCTTGCGGGAAGGTGCCCAATCTGTGAAGAGCGATACAGAGCTTGCCCTGGAGGCGTTCGAGCCTGTTGTAGGTCATTCACTCATGTAGCCACAAAAGAGACGTCTGAGGCTGGTTTCAAACAGTTCCAATTAAATACATTGGAGCCCGAAGGGCTCTCAGATCTCTCGCATCGATAGAGATGGCTAGACAAATCAATATGCACAGTCACGCTCGCCCCCAAAGTCACAATTTCGACCAAGAAAGCAATGATGCAAAAAAACCCTTGTTAGAGCCTCTCAGTGAAAATACCCAATAACAAACTGTGATCAGCCTTGCAAAATTACCTTATTTCTAAATCCCTGGTTCTGTGGAATGGATGTTTGAGTTTGCCTGAATTACAAACTCGTGGAAGGATATATGATTGACAACTCTGTAACTCCAAGCGCATCTTTAAGAGATGCATACGCCTCGCATGTGTTTTTCAAAGAATATGAAAACACATTTGTTTAGTTACCACGGAACCAATCATCCTCCAGTAGTTCCGCAGCAGTTGGCCTATCCCTAGGATCCATTTTCATGACTTTGAGAAGAAAATCTCTATCTTCTGCCGACACCTCCTTGGCAGAAATTCGCCTGAATGGCTTCTGTTTTTCTGGGGGAAGGGACTCGTGAATATATGCCAAGATCGCCAAGGTCTCCTCGCCAGCGATTTCTTGGTAGGATAGAGGGAATGGCCCGAAGAATGAACATTGCCTCGTAAGAATTCTGAGCAAGTACTCTTCATGATCAAACGAGACATCGGGGCAGAAGATGAAGAAGTTATCGCCATAGATCAGAGCCAGGATCTGGAAGCCAGCAAAGAAGGCAAGTTAGTCCCCCGTTATTGCCTTTAAAAAGGGTGACTATTCGTGACGATCTGCATACCAATGCTCCGAACGACCATATATCAGTAGCAGTACTCCATCCTATCTGCAAATGGGCTTCCGGGCTGCGCCATATGGGAGCTCCAATCATGACACCATCCTTCGCATATGACGAATCGGCAGGGAGAGTGGCTCCCATGTCTGCCAGTTGAACATCCGTGAAGCGGATATCTCCATTTCCAGAGCCGTAGTTGACAAGCACATTGTCAGGTTTGACATCTAAACACGGACCGCTTTAGATTGGTTCTTCAAATCTCACGAATACTCATAAAAGAGAAGGTTCCTAAGGTGATTACCCGTGTGGACAAATCCCTCTCCATGGAGTAATTTAAGAGCTTCTAGAATCCTCCTGGCGACGTATTTGATCTCACGGGATGTGAGTGTCCGTGAATTAGAGGCATTCAAAAGATGGTCATCTAAATGCCTAAGAACGATAGCTGGCGGGTCTGGTGGGTCGACAATCTCATCAAGCAGCGGGCGAATAAAGGGAGTCTGGCCTTGAAAGCGCTTGAGAGCATCTCGCTCGTTCTCCAGCCGAAAATGCTGCACGGCCTTTATTATCACCGGCTGCTTGTTCGGGTTGCTGGACACGTTAGCATCTTCGTAACTAGCGATTTGGAACGGAATTGCCGTACGTTGCAAGCCAAACTGTATCTTGGAGCTCCTTGGTCAGGGTGTAGCAAGCTTTATGCCCTCTCAAGATCTGTCCCAGTCGAAAGGCGGCAGTCATTTCATTGAACAATGAGTGCCACGATAGGACATATTCAGACAAGACGAGAACGCTCTGTTAAATGATGATGATATTGGTTTGTTCTGTTTGCTGAGCGATGAGAGGCCACGCCAAGCCACTATGGTGTTTTAGGACTAGTTCCACTTACATCCTCTCTCCCACGCGGTGCACTAACCCTATTCGAGTTACAGATCAAGGAAGATCTTCTATGTATGTGTGTATTTGTCTGACGTCCTGGGCACAGGCGCTGATGCTGCACTGAAGGGATCCATGTATAACAAGGAGAGAAGAAGAATTCAGATAGCAACTGATGAAAAGACTCAGTCCTCTGAACTGTGCATCCACTTCTGACCCAACATATGGCCATTGATGATGGGGATTGTGCATTGAGCTTCCTTTTAAATCTCTCGTTGCGTCTCCCACTTCCGATGTTCTGTGAGTCTCCTCTTAAGCTTTTTTTGTCGTGTAACGAATGGAAGAGAGCTTAACTCGACCCCAATTACTCTGCTTATTTTATTTTATTTTATTTTATTTTATTTTTGAATCTTCTACATGCGCCCAAAGTAAGTCCTCTTGTCCACTTGCGCTGCAATAATGACAATGGATAGTACGGCGGCTTGTTTTGCTCCTAACCCTTATCTCAGTTTGAGTGAGCTTCTTTTTCGAGATCAATCAGGGTACGCCCTGTCCAGGACATCGCATCCCCACCACCTCGCGCATGGGCCATGAATGACAACACCATCCGAGCTCTGTAGACGATAGCTAAATGTGAAAAATACCCATAGAGCCAAGACTCAGAGCCACTAGCTTCGATATATCAGTCTTATGAATCATCATTGGGCTTTTTTTTTTTTTTTTTAGACTAAGGTCCCGCAGCGGAGTCGCGGCATTTCCCTCGGAGAGTCTCGGGCCCCCAAGGATTACCACGGAGCTCCAAATCGCTTTTGTTCTGAGTCATTTAGTTCGATAGAACGAGCTAGGAAAAGAAAAGAAAGGCGCTTGCTGAGGCGTGGATTGCTCCATAGCGCGAAAGGGGGGGGGCATAACGTTGCTCGGAGCAGAATTTTGCGTGCCCTTCGAGCACTTCAACAACAACATGCCCGTGCATCCCAATAACGGGCATATTGATCGCCCTGATGTCATTGATGAGACCCACTTGGGGGAAAAGAAAAATTGTTCACTAGCGAAAAAGAGATGACCCACTTGGTTGTTGTATGCTGGTCTCGCTCCGTACGAGTATCTTTTCAGGCTCTGTGTGTGAAAGAGCTGGTGGTGGGGTGGAAATTGTACTGTACTAACCCTCCGTTCAACAGAGGATATGATGAAAAATGCAGGATAGTAGATAGTATATAATAGAATAGTTAAAATAACCAGTATGAGATGAGGCGGTGAGGAGGAACGAACAACTTGGTATTCATTCCTCAAGGCGAGCCCGGGAACAAAATTTTTCTGAAATCTTGAAAAGCGTTCGTTACTCCGAGTACGCGGGAAAAAAAAAAAAAAAAAAAAAAAAAGCCCTGTCAATCCCTGCCATCTGGCATCCTGGATATCGACAGGGACAACCCAACTCCCCGATCCGAACCAACCCATGATCCACAACATCCACAACAACCATAACTAGTGGGAATCGTGATCCGACTCGTTCCCCATTCCCTGAGGCATCCATCATCGTTCTCGGGACGGTTCCGTTCATGGAGCTGACCTTGCATAGAAAACATAACGTTTGCTGTGCAGCCTGTGTGGTGGAGCGGTGGTCGCTGTTCCGAGGTTGTATGCTGTAAGTTACAGCGCAGAAACCCGTACGGAAAAGAAAACTTCCGTACGCCGCTCTATCCGTATCATGGGGAATTGCCTTCCATGGTTTAGCGTCATCCCGATCGAATTTAGCGCAACATTGCTGCTTTCTCTTCCTCCTGCCACTCATCCTGAATGCAGTTTTGCCTCACTCTACTGTCAAGTTACCCTAAAATCATGCACAGACTGAGGTGCACTACTGGGATATCTGATCTACTCAGAATCGTGACTGACTGAGATTTTTTTCTGTTCACTTTGTTGATCCCATTTTCTTATTCTATACACAACTAGCTGCTATTGCTCTACATTCTTCTATATTTGATGTTTTGGATTCTGCACATCTATTCTATCAACGCTACCAATTCCATCATCTTTGATACTTGTTGTCCTTAATCTCTCTCTTTCACAATCAGTCAATGTTTCTCATCTTTGGTGCACACCGGCGATGGGCAGCATCCACACATTGAGACAGTATGTCAATGAACAAAAAAAAAAAAATCCTTCACGTGACAGAAGCAGTAGTTGACTTGCTGCACTGCGGACCATTATATATCAGGCTCTGATCAGAGTGTGAGGTCTGAAAGGTTGCAAGGGTGACATATTCAGATAAAAGAAATAAATCTCCTCAATGATTCAAGCCTTGCAGATGAATTCTTAGTCATGGTATCCTTGGATAGTTTCAAGTAACTATGACCTGACCAGCATGTTCTCAATCTACAAATGGCAAGGCCTTGAGCCATGCCTTCCGCTCCTCCTGACTCCTAGCCTTGCGGCTTAGGAACCTCTCGATCCTATCCGCCAGCTGTCTCTTTGAAATTTCGTAATCCTCACTGCTTACCCTTCCGTCCCAGTGCTTAAAACACCCGGTTTCATTGATGAAGTCGCTCATAAGGTCAACCCCTTGGGCCCATAACTTCTCGTCATGCTCCTGTTGCTCCACCTCTGTAGCGGAGAAACGCAACGGGCAAGGTATCAAGGGCAGACTATCCGGGCCCTTCCCAACAATTGTTGACCACTCTTTCTCAACTTCCCGTAGTAAGCCAGTGAGGCATGGTTCGGAGTCCGTTATTGTCAAACCTGGTACAACGCTAACTTGGTGACGGAGGCTATCCTGACTCTTTATGGCCTGGAACACTGTCGGATTATTCTGGAGTGACAGAGCCAAATAAAGATTGTGCAAGGTTTGGGCTTGATGTAGCTTCTTTGCCTTCTGCTGTTCATCAGAAGTCATGCAGTCAAAGTTTGGTGGCAGGCTGACTCGCCCAAGTTCATCGGGAATCGGGCCATTGTAATCTAGAAGCCCTGGCAGTGTTACCTGCATGAAAAGAGGGCAGATGCTGACAGCTTGCCAGTCAATTATACCCACAATTTGGGTTGGCTCCGCTGGATCAACGAAAACGTTCTGTAAGTGTAAATCACCATGCCAAAGAACGGATGCATGGGTTGCTCTGTTCTCAGGTAAGACATATGGAGCCACTTTTAGATAGTTGCGTAATGCCGACAGTTTTTTCGATGCGGTCGGTTGGTATTGCCCGGGCCCGTAAAAAAGCCCTTCTGGCATTGATGAATACCTCAGGCCTGCATCCACGCAGGCTATCTCTCTATGGGCAACTGCCCCTAGGTACGCAGCGGTTGTGGACCCTGCCAGCATTCAGTATTTTAAATTAGGATAAAGAAAGACACGGATCTTACATGGCCCACGATCGATACGTAGTTCTCCCCTCCCAAAATCAAAAAAAGAACGGTGGTTAGTAGGACCGATACCAAATTCTTCAGTATGTACCTCTTTTCCGGCTCCGTCGACATACAACAACGTGTCATGATTTGATGAAGGAAGATCACGCTTGTAATATAGAGCCCCAAGCTTTGTGAACTTCGTCGATGCAAGGGTCTTTTCAAGATCCACAACTTGCTTAACAATCTCAGCTTTCTGTTTCCCTCTCATGGTTCCCCACACATCGCTTAACATCGTGCCGGTTTGCTTTTCCATGATAATGTACTCTGCTCCAACAGGATTGTCAGATGCCCGGGAGCTCCACGCGTGGACCCTGGGAACCGGCAGACGAAGAGTATTCCGCAGCTAAAGAGTCAGTCAGTCCATATATGCTATATGAGGAGGAAGAGGGAAAAGAGGGCACAGTACAAAATCCATAGTCGCAACTTCACTCGCGGTGGTGAAGTGCAGCCGCCCAGCATTGGGATTCGGCAGCTTCGCAATTACCTCACGGCCGTCATTCATGGTAAGCTGAAACACCTTGTTGTACTGGCCTTCAGCAACTTTGATGACTTCAACACATAATTCTGATCCAATGGAAGTAGCGGCAAGTTTCAATAGCTCGGCTATGTCGAATTTCACATATCGAGTGGCAAGCTGCTGGCGCTCGTTCCACAGCCATCGGCCAGAGGTGAATCGATGGAGCGCATCTAAATCATGCTTTGAATCTACGGAATCGCCAGGTAGGAAAGGCACAGAAGCAATTAGTTACTATTTTGGTACTGTACAGTACGATGCCTGAATCTTCCATACCAATGAGATCTCCGTGCCTCTGGTCTAGTTTCCGACAACTGGAGCTAAATCGTCGTGCCGGATTGTTGAGGACAACAACTCGGTGGATTGCCCTCATGACCCGTAACCATGCGAATAATCAATCAATCCGCAGCAGTATGCGAAATGGATTCGAGTTCAAGCTGTCTCGGTTCAAGGTGCTTTTTGTTGTGTTTGCACCTGGTCATTACTGAACAGTTTGCAAAATGGCGCTTCAAGGAGCGAGCGTAACCGCTGCGCCGCCCCTGCATCAACACGAACCAGCAATGAGGCGCTTCAATCTCTGAGCATTCGGCACCGCACCCATCATCATCATCATCATCATCATCATCATCATCATCATCATCATCAATCAAGCAACACAAAGACCATCCAAAAATACAGGGTACGAGACATACGATTCAAGTCAGTTCCTCGCTACCATCGAAAATACACATCAGTATTCAGCCGTATTCAGCCGTCCTCAGCCGTCTTCCGGCGCCATGCCCTGTGTATGGAAACAACCGAGGATGAATTGAACTCATGGCTGAATTCTCTCACATCGTTAAGGGCTTTATATTCTGCGTTGTAAAAAGAAAATAAATTAAAATTAAATTAAAATTAAAAATAATACAAAAAATTTAAAAAAAAAAAATTGATGCCGAGGACCGAGGAGGTGTCCCTGTCTCCGACGAGAGTTAAGCTCATCCTTTTGCCCTAAGAGAGGCAGTCATAACTACGCTGTGTCGCAGATTGCCGGCTCTCTATATTATTATTAACCTGGATGCATAGTTAACTTGTTATCGACGTCATGTAAGTAAGAGGTCGGAAAGCTTGTTGCGCGCAACGGGCTTCTTCAATGGCCGCTCCCGCCTCCCCAGGGTTGAACGGAATGAATGCCGGCTCCGAGCTCCTCTGGGAGAGCTGTTGTGAGTAAATAAATACGCCGTATGTCGATCAGACAAGGTTCAGAGACTTCACATTCAATTCAAGCCTTTCAGGGGCTTGCGTTTGCGTACTAGTTAAGTTATCTACTCCATTCGATAGGGGTCTGGACTTTCTCTATATATATATATATATATATATTTTATAGAGCCAGAAGTTCACCTGGTGATGCCAGGCGCTCAGAGGACAACGCTGTGGATTGACAGTTGATGATGTTCTTGACCAAATAGGTACAGTAAATGGCAGAGCAGCTAAATTAGGTAATATGCCTTCAACGCTTGGATAGACGATAGAAGTTAGGTACCGCAGGAGATCACTATTTTACTCCTAGGGGGATGGCTATTTGGTACAGTACATATGACTGTGTGGAATATAATATCTAGATTACAAAAAAAGAAAAAAGAAGAAAAGAAGGTAGTTTGACCCCCGACCGAGTGTAATCTGTATATCAGTCCCTCCACGAACAATTGAGTGAGCCCCGGACTTTTACCAATTTAGAAGGATGGTGTCCACTCAACCCATTGCGAAAATATAACTAGTGTCTATACATATCTACAGAGCAGAGGAAAAGAGAAGTGAAGGAACTGGGGGACTCTATAGAGAACTAGTCTAAGTCAGGGAAATACTAACAACCCGAGATGGGGTCTTGCTTGACAGAATAAAGACGATGAGAGTGGGTTATGTCGTAGAAGGGAAAATGTTCTTTTTCTTGTCTGATTGGAGGGATATACGCTGAGTGCAAGTAGATATCTATCTATCGCCTTCGACGAAAGGAGGAGGGAGGCGGGAGGCGGGAGGCGGGAGCCCCAAACTCTAGGGATTAAGCGCACACGCGAATACGAGAGACACAGACCCAGACCCTGACTGGATCCGCGAAACATCCCTTTGCTTTTTCCTCTCTCCTCTTCCCCTTTGCAATCCAAACAGTTGCTCTTTGCGGGTTGCAGTCGCGGGCTCTGTCGTTGTTGCTGTTGTTGATCTTGTTATCGGACAGGAGGAGAACCTTGGGAGGCGTGGTTGAGCAATGAGGAATCAACGAACCCAAACCCAAACCCGGGGAGAGAAGAGGGCGGAGTCTGTTTCAAATTGCTTTGACCTATCTGTGCTTTTCTTTCTTTCGTCCTGGCGCTAAGCCGATTTGACCCTTTACCGGAACACGCTTGCCAAGGCACCGGGAGTGGGAAAAAAAAAAGTTTCAAGCTCCCAAGGTTAAGGCGGGGGGATGGATGCCTTTGTTCATCGAGTTCTTTACATATTGCGAACCATAGGTGATACAGGAGTGCATCCATCCTGTTGGTGGTTGCATGGTTTGAAAAGAAAGAAGGGGAGATTTCGCTGCGAGGGAGAACGAGGAGACGAAGGTGACGCAGACCAAATTACGAAGCTACGAAGTTTGAACGGGAGACAAAGCGGGTGAGTGAGGGGAAGGGGGAGAGAAGAATGGAGAGTTCAAAAGTCCCCTCTGCTGGCGCTTGGGTAACCGTGCTTCTGCCGCTTGAACCTGCTTTTTACAGAGGACTTGGTGCCTAAAGTTTCCCATTCAACTCTACTTCACACTCTTCGCCAGGGCTTGCTAGGAACACTGAGATGGTCCGTGGTTCTTGCGACTTTCCTCATTTTTGTGTGATTGTATTGGTTTGTTTTGCAACAAGTAGGGATTGGTTCTTCACTTGTGAAATTCCACTAGAGAAGTCGGCGACCACGTTCGATGTCCATCCACTTGACAAGATGTTTCATCATGATTGAAATTGACGTGATGACTCGTTATGATTGATAATAGTGAGCGGGGCTAGGCACTGCACAACGAGGGGCCTAGTCTTGGCAGTTAATTGTGCACTTATGCAGTGTAGTCTATGGCATCATAAATATCATCAATGGCTCTGCTGAATAATAATAACGTTTAAGCACAGGTTAACTAGTGAACTAACTCTGGAATTAGAGCGAGTTGAAGGAACGGAAGCGTGAGGTAATAATAGGCACACCAAATACAGCAAATACCCGGACAGGAAGCAGCCTGCCGATTACTCATTCGTTGCCAGGCCAATCACGCACCAATGACGGGCAGAAGCTGAGATCGAGATCCGTGGTTGGGCCGCGGACTGTTGGAGAAACCGACCGTGGCGGTGAACGGAAGCCGGGCAGAAAGCGATGCGAAGTCGATACAAGGCGAGTACCAAACATGACCAACTGCCCTGTCAGGCAACCCCCGCAGAAAATAGTTCCAGTTCCTGCGCACACGGGGGGATCCACGCGCCGACACAGCGACACCTGCGGATATTATCCAGATCCTTGTGACAGGAGTCGTTGCGAATCGCTGGTGGCTGCACTCCGGAGCACTTCGGCGGAGGATCTGGAAGTCATCCTCCGTTTCCCAGCACAGCACCGATAATAGTACTCGTACCCGTGGTGAACATGACGCGGACAGTTGATGATGCACACCGGCGAAGGGGGTTGGGGGGTTCGAATATCGGAGCCTGGTTGCCCTGCAGCTTTGAAACCCAGGCAGACAGATAAAACAAAAACCCACCGATCATTGTGCAGCATCTTCAAAACGAACAAGGGCATCTTCGGGCATAACACGTGTTGCCCGGAAACCCGCCGAAGGAGGGAGAAGAAGATTCAGCAGAATCGTTGACTAGAGTCATGGATTACACAAGCAGTGACTGTTTCGCAGCCGGAACGAGTTTTAACTACGCAGCGCAACTACGGCCGTACATGGGTCCAGTAATCCCGGAGTCCAGGTAGTCCAGGCAGCCCAGGTAGCCCAGGCAGTCCAGGACCCGCCAATGGACCAACTCCGGCGCTCGGTGTTTAAGCAGGAGGGAAGGCCGTGGGTCTCCTCCGGGCCAACCTTGTTGGATTAATAAACTTCTCGCCCACCAGGACTCAGCCTTTCTCAGCAACGCAACGACGGGTCCAGCCTCAGTCCGCCATCCAGCATAAAGATCGGCCGACTGCCCTTGTTTCCAAGAAAACCCAAGAATCCTGCTTCGTAATACCAAGGCACAATAAACGGTAATCAATTCGTGTTTTGTGTGTTTTCCTCGCTGCCTGGGTCTCAGCTATTATTCATCCACCTTTCTTCCCCCAGCTACATAACCTCCCAGCGAGAACCACCGCAAGTCAACAACGAACTGCAGACAACAGAGGACTCAATAATTATATAATTACCATTATCATCATCATCACCACCATCATAATACCAATCACCCACACGCACAGACAGAGGACACACTATCGACACCACCAAGTGCCAGCTCACCGCCTTGGCTCTGATTGGACAAATTAGCTCTGAACGTGGCCAGACCCAGACTCCGGCAGACTTTTGCAGGCACCTCTGAGTCACCGCCACCAATCCTTGAAAAGGACACTGTGAGCACACAGAAAAACACAAATACACACACACACACACACATCCACACACATCCACACACATCCACACAACAGCAACAGCACACAACATCGACAACGAGTGAAAGCAATTCACCATGTCCACTCTTTCATCCGCCTCCCCGCTCTTCTCTCCTCTCACAATATACCCTCCTCCCGCGAAGAAACAACGAAAAATGAGTCTCACCCAGACTTACTTCCTCGCTCATACCGCCAGAGCGAAGCTATCCCAGGAAGCTTCTCGGCCAGAGCACGACCTCCGAGTCCTTGTTGGCCATGCTAATATGCTCGACTCTCTCATGCTCGAGCTCGCAGACGCAGAAAAGGAACAGGAAAAGTGGTTTAATCAGACTGTTCTGGGAGCCAATGGAAAGCTGTCGGGGGAGCAGCAGCGGCAACAACAATCACAACCACAATCACAATCACAATCACGCAGCAAACATATCGAATGGGCTGATACGATTGTGGAGGAGCCCGAGGACGACTGGGATCCGGAAGACCTATCCTCCGGCTCAGATACAGATAGTGACGACTCAGATGACTACGGTGAAGATGAAGACTTCTCCTCATGGCTCTCCCGATCTCAACAGCAACAGCAGCAGCAGCAACCGCCTTCGACTCCTACAATCACATCCCGCGAATTCGTACGATTCGAAGCCGAAGAGGACGATGCAATAGTGGACGACGATGAAGAAGACTATGATGAACTCGCCCTCACACGAACAAGTTCTCGCTCCCAACAACAACCGCCCGACCTTCTCGATGACTCGGACGACTCGTCGTCAGAAGATGACGAATCGGTCCCTCGCACGCCTCCACATCCGGTGCTTGACAGTTTCAACGAGAAGGAGGTCATGGCCACAACCGAGCTGTACTCGTCGAAGCAACAATCGACGCCGTCGTCATTCCCTCCTCTATTATCGTCGCCAGAATCAGATCAAGCGGCAGCGCCACTGTTTTCCGATGATTGTCCTTCCATCACAGAGCGAGGCGCTGATGAGCGTTTAAATGGAAATAAAAAAAAGAAAAATAAAATTTTACGTCTTCGACACGCCCTTTTTGAGACATATCATTTTACGACTAATGGCTTTCCTCTGATTCCAAGCGACGTCTTTTGATTTACTGGAGCATTTAACACCACACAAGCATGTTTGCACAACAGCGTTACGTTATTTTCACATCTTTTTCTTATAGCTACATCAAGCAACGACGAAATGGGCCGACGTGGGCGGGTTTTTTGTTCTTTTGCTACTGAAAAGTTTTCGGTCTTTCCCCGGGCGGCGTTTTCGGCCTATGTCATTTCAACCACAACTATCATCCCCATCTTTCATCCCTCCCCTTCGCTTGAACAAAAAACAAACCTCTCTCCTCTTCCATTTCGCTTCGCTGCAACTACAGATACATCCTTTCACACACTCACACACTCACACACACATAATCTTTCCCCCAACGCATCTCCCATAATTCCAATTCCACATTCCACATTCCCATCACATCCTTCTCTGTCCTTGATTTCTATATTGGGTGGCCCCTATTCGCCTCGCCGCGCTCTCCATCCCACCGTATTAATCCGGTCGATGGTCGAAAGGAGGCGGCGAGAGAAGCGGGGCGTGTTTTTTTTTTTTATTATTGTTCATGTTCTCCTTGATTGTTGGAATTGGAATTGGAATTGGTTGAGAGCGCTGGGCTGGTTTTTCTGTTCGTCTCTGGCCTTTTTGATATCTTGGCTATTCTGTTCATCCATATTTCTCTCTCTCTCTCTATATATATACTCCTGTGTGTGTGAGGAAATGTCGATCGATATTTATATTTATATATCTACGTGATGTAGCTATCTACTGGCAGCAAAACAAAACAAATCAAATCAAATCAAATCTACGAAACTCATTATTGATTGATACTCAGTGATTAATTGATTGATTAAATTGCTCCTGGTCCCGAAACAAATCAATCAGCCTCTCTGCATTCAAGGTCTCTTGTAACCAATTGTATAAAAAGAACTATATAGCTCGTTCATTGGCTAGTTATTGACTTTATACGGATTCGCAAAAGGAACCCTCATCTTCCCTTGTAGGAGATAACTAGGAGATTTCTCTCACCTCCCTTTTTCCTCCCCCCCCCCTTCCGGCTTTTCTCCTCATGGAACGGTTGTGATGTTCGGTCTCAGTTTTCGTTTCGGCCACCGAGCCCGCGGCCGGAAACTTCATTCTTTCCGCTAAGGTCCCGGCTTAATCTCCGATAACTATACTTAGTTACCCCTCTTCTTCTCTTCGCGGGGCGGAATTTTTTTCCTTTTCCTATGTAATTCGCTCACGAAGCATGAAGCAGACGGAATGGGGCTCAAAAAAGAAAAAGAAAAAAAGATAGTTATGTAACTAGTCAAAGAAAAACTTAAAAACACCCGCCCCCCGCAAAAAAAAGAAAAGAAAAAAAATCCTGCTGGATGAAAAGGGTGCCTACCTAGTCCTGATCTTTTGGGGACGGAGGAGATGTCCCGCTTATGCTCGCTTCTCACTCGCCCGACGGGGTGCGGGGAGGCGGTGTAGCATTGGGGTTGTGTTCTGGGCCTGAGGATGGAGTTTTGATTTATTTATTTGTTTGTTGGTTTTTTATTTTTTTTATCGGTGATGGAGGGGGAGGGTTGGATTCATTGTAGTTATCTGTACTTCGTCTGTTAATTGATAGTATACTCAATACACAGAACCTGCACTACTGTAGCGGGCGCAGCGCTGCTTCCAAGGTTAAGTAGGCGTGGTCACGTAGCCTTCTAGCGGGCGATAGGGAATGCCAGCAATTGATGTATTATCATTATTTGATTGATTGATTTTCAATCCTGTCACCCCTGGGCAGTGGACAGCGGGATTGGCGGGCCAGATTGATGAAGGAAGCGGGCGAGCTGGGGAAATACTACGAACAGGTTACTAGTAGAACTGGGTGAGTTCAGATAGGAGTAGATGTAAATGTGTTGGTCCTGCGAAGCATACATACTGGTATACCATCCCTCGCGCTCCGGTCCTCTCGCGGGTCCCCGTGGAGGACTATATATATATAGCTTTACAGGAGAAGGATGATATATCCCCATCCCCGCCAGGCAGCGGAGGAGCTTGGCCGGGGCGGCTGACTGCTATTGCCCAAAGAAGCGCCGGGGCTTGGCGGCGGTGGGCCTGGGGGTGGGCTGCGCGCTTGGCGGCTTGGGGGTGCTGTTCAGCCTCAAACATCCCACCCGACGCATCTTCATCTTCATCTTCATCCTCATCCTCCGTCTTCCCTCTTCTTCCTTCCACCTGTGTCGGCTATCATCCATCTCCATCATTCCATCTCAGCAGTGGCTAGGTGGAGAGTTATGATACTCTCGTGTTAATTCCCCATTCCTTTCATTCTCCCTCAAGAACCCTGATACGCATCGGTTTCCATCTCCTCTCTTCTATTCCTTCTTCTTTCTCCCCGATTTTACGGAGCTACCTCTCCTGTCCTCCCCCACGCTTCTCTCACGTCTCCTCTTCGCCTTCTTGACCGACCTGTTTGATGAATGAAGCCCTGGGCACAACACAACCGGCCTTCCACCCAGTGAATTAGATACATCCTCCCGCGGCCACCACTCTGGACAATGACAGCCTGTGCCTCAATCATCCTTCTCCAAGTCTTAAAGGAGCTCCACGGTGCCTGACACCCAGCTGTTCCTCTACTGCTTGATCTTCATATCCTCACCTCGTCACTATTTTAACAATACTCGTACCGAAAGGCTGTCGCCAACTATTAGCCATACCTACCACACCCAGGCGCGGAAACTTATCCTGTTAAGCGGTGTGTATATATACATTCATTCTTCCTCTTCGCTCCTTCCTTACCCCTCTCTCTTCCCAGGATGTATTTACGCAAGTGGCCTTGCTGGTGGTGAGGATTTGTCTAGATTGCGCCTGAGCATACGCCTGCCGCTAGCTCTATGCTCTTTTAACCCCGCCCCCTGTTGAGCTGACATCGTCTCTTAGACATTTCTGTCCTGTGTTGTTGGCTTCTTCTCATCAACTCTTGACCGCCGGAAATTTTCTCTGCGTACAACCTAAATCTAAGCAAAACTCAGTTGGTGGATATCCCAGATCGGAAAAGAAGCCAACAGAAAAACTCTTCGACTACATTTACGTTTGCGTCTGCGTGTGGGGTTTGGTATTGATTTTTGGCCGTCTATTTTTCCTTCCTATCCAGCTATACCATCACCAGACACCCCCGATTTACGATTTTGCACCGTTATATCGATCCTCCTGAAGGTCATTTAAAAAAAACGGTACCTCGGTGTTTGATTCTCAGATTCAAATGTCCGAGTCGGCGTCTACAAACACTTGGCCTGACACCAGTTCGTCCGCTTTGGGATCTGACGAGACAGCCTCATCGCACAGAGATGATGCGAGTGTCTTCACCTTGGGCGGCTCGACCGCCATGCTGACTGACGTTCCACCACGGCGGCAATCGATTCAGTTCAACATGGAGGCAGCTGCAGCTGAATTATCAAAAAAACGAATTGGTGTCACAAGGGGAGCTTTAACCAGCCGTATCGGCAGAATTCCATCCCCCCCTCCACCAAGGTTCGTTTTTCATCTTTTTTCGTAACTTCGGTTGTCTGTTCATCATCCACTTCAAAAAAATTCGGCTTGGTTCTTCCGCGCACCGCCTTTGAATGACGTTACCAACTCTTCAATTGCTCGATGTGGCTTGTAGGATGTGGCTGGAGTCGGTTCCCTTCTTGCTTATTGCCCCAGGGTGTTTACACTTTTGCCCCCCTCGCATCTTAATTCGCTTGCGCCGAGCATGCCCCCACCCTGCAACTCAAGGATGTGACTGCGCCTTCTGGCTCTCAATGCCGATTGCGGGTTCATAAAGCCCAGAAGCGGCTGTAGCGTGTCACCAATGCAACTCCCCATTCATCATTTACAAATCACCTATGATAATTCTTGCAATATGAATCCACCCCACTCTGATAGGCATGACGAATATCACCCTGACACTACGCTAACTTCTCACGATGTCAGTGCCTATAATCGCGGGGTCTCATTCGACACCTTTGATAACCGTGACGCCACTGATTTCTCATTGACACTCAATTACAAACACAGAGATTACCACCCTACACGGCGGAGCCGGACTTTCCTCTGTGGTACTGATCAGAATGATTATTCTGATTTTGCACTTGAATGGCTGATCGACGAACTCGTTGACGATGGCGATGAAATTGTCTGTCTAAGAGTCGTCGAGAAGGATTCGAAGATCGCGAGTGATGCAAGCATGGAGGAAAGGAGATACCGGCAAGAGGCCCAAAAGCTCTTGGATCAAGTTATTGCGAAGAATTCCCATGATGAAAAAACGATTAGCTTGGTGCTGGAGTTCGCCGTGGGAAAAGTGCAGGAAATAATCCAACGAATGGTACGTGGTCGGTTTATATTCTTCTACGTCAATTTTCCATTTTCTAACCCCATACTATATTTTAAGATCCAAATTTATGAGCCTTCGGCGCTTATTGTCGGAACGCGTGGACGCAGCCTGGGTGGGATGCAAGGCCTTCTTCCGGGCTCAGTGTCGAAATATTGTCTTCAACAGTCGCCCATCCCGGTCATTGTCGTCCGCTCCTCCACAAAGCGCGAAAAGAAGAAACAGAAACGTCTTGGCAATCCGACGCGGCACCGATACAACCACATCCTTCGATTGAACGACATGAAGAGCGGCCGAGTGTTCGACAAGGCACGTAACTCTGATAGCATCGCCACGAAGCAACCAGAAGAGGAAGCCGCGGTGGCTCAAGCTATCGGGGAACAGGATATGGGGGGAAGTCTCGCAATCCGCAATACAAGCCGCGACCCGCGGCTATCATTTTCCAGAGACACCGCATCTACCAGAAGCACGGACGACAAAGATGACACGAGCGAGGGCACACGCAGTTTGAGCATTCCCAATTCGGAGTCCGCTGCCCCTAACTTCTCTTCCGCCTTGAAGAATCAACGTATCGAGAGCCCGGCGATCACTGACGACGAAGGCGACGAAGATGAGGGAGACAGTCCTGGTGATGATAACGATTACGACAGCGAAGCTCGTGATAGGAGGCGCCAGCACGGTTCTCAGGATGCGGCACCATCACCCAAGAAGCCACCCCTCGTCCCCATTACCAACGCCACGACTACAGAATATACGTCCGACGTTGACGAGCGGCACTAATGGATAGGGTGGGCAGGAATAGTTAAACACGGTTGTAACCTCCACTCACGCGCGGGCGGGATGGGAGTGTTTGATTCGCGCTTTTTCTTCGCGTTTCGGGATCGGTTTTTTTTTCTTCGAGTTCTCATGTGTCATGAATATCGGAATAGACTATAAAAACCGTTCACGGATACTACGGAACTAGGGGAGGCCTTTTCCTTTTCTATTTTTCTTTTCTTTTCTTTTCTTTTCTTTTTCTTTGTATTGTATGCATGTTTTTGACATGACGATTCCGGTTTTTGTGTATGTGTGTGCGTGGTCTTTTCGCTCCGTCCTTCTGGGCTTCTTCCTTCTTGCCTCTTCTTACGACTTAGCTGCACATCCTGATGACTCACATTCTAACGTAACGAATTTTTTTTTTTTTATCTTTTTCTTTTTTAACACAAATAGGACCCTTCCCTAGTCAATAACAACGACATCAACAACATCAACAACAACAATGATATCCACATGGCAAAAACCTGCACAAATCACCTACGGTTGGATACGGATAGTCTCCGGTGCCACCCCCGCATTCGCCAGAGCCACTCTCCGCGCCTCTGGGCCATACCCGATATTTACAGGGAGGAGAGACGAACCTCCTCAGGCGAAGATCCCAGTCTAAAACCGGGCTTCCTCTCCTTACTTCCAGCTTCAGCGCCGGACGGGGACCGGGAGAGTCTCTCTCTCTTCCCCTGAGCCATAAGATCATGTTACAGGCAGGCATCACCATTCGGGGATGATTTTTTTTTTAAATTTTAATTTTTCGTTCTCATTTTTTGGGACATGCAAGGAAGGACCAGGGCTGTAACGCTTGCGTGCTTCTAGACTCTTGGTCCGCAGATGTGTGGGGGGTGGGGGGTGGGGGGTGGGGAGGGGAGTTACCGATATTTCATGATGGGCGGATGTACGCCGGAGAGGATGTACACCGGAGAGGATATACACCGGAGAGGATATACGCCGGCGAGGGGTGCGATGGAACCTATACACGTATATTAGTTTCAGATGCGTTTGAAACACGGGGTTGGAGCCTGGGGGCCGGGAAGCGGGGAAGGAAAAAAAAAGGGGGGGTTGGGGGACGGGAGGTCGTTTGGAACCCATTTTTCTGCGACAAATGCTAACCTTGGAATGGAATGCGGAATTGACTGCCGGAAAAAATGGACCTGCGTTTGCGTCGGCTAGGCCGTTTAACTAATATGCACTATGCTACTATGTATGTACTACTATGTATGTATTTGGAGTGGATCCTTCTGATTTTCCGCGCCTCTAAATGCGGAATGTCTAGATCATGGTAGTTGATCAAAAATGATGACAGATGAGGAGAGGAATTGAGGGAGTCGTAAATCGGCGCAAGGCTGCCAAATTCTTCTATTACTACCATCGTTAATGAGCATGGATGGCAGCGTCATGGGAAATGACAGAAAAAACATGGACGATTATTTGATGTGACTTGATGAGATTTGAGCCATTTGATATTCGATGTTGAGCACCTTCCGCCAAGCACACACTAGGTCTAAATAGAACTAGCACGAATAGAAGCTGATATCACGTGTCAGTTGCTCTGAAACAGGTTAGTGTTGCAGCGCCTTGAATGTCCAAGCTGATATCTATCTATCTCTCTATCGGTTGCAGCTTCAAACCACCATCATATTTACCAGTGGCGTTTGGGATCCAAAATCTATTGGCTACAATATACAACACAATATATACCCTCTTGCTTCATGACTAGAAGCTATCTAACGCTAGCCAGTACCTAGGAGGTGCCGCCTTCTCTCCATATTTTTTAGCGAGATAAGTTTCCCGAGCATATATATATATCTATATATATACACCCACTACACCGGCTTCACGATGTCGTTTTAGATTCCAACCCGAAGGATATGGCCGCACATATGGGTTTCAGTGGCAATGCCGCTCCTCCCAGCTCCTCGTCAGCACCAGCTCCCACCGGAGCTGCTACCATGGGCGCTGACAACAGCTCCATCGGTCAGGAAGGAAAGGCGGCGGCGATATTCACAGCAGGCGAGGATTGGGATTCAGAGCAGAAACTGGTAACCGCTTTGTCAATGCTGCAGCAGATGGAAGCAAAGGTCCGTGACGTGAAAACAATTTCCCAAAACCCCGAGGTGTCAGCATCAACATCCTTCCTTCGGCGCTAACTAGCCATATTGGAATTTTCCACCGCGCTCCCTGGAATGTGAATGGATGCAGGAATTGGAATTGGAATTGGAATACACTTGAGAGGGACAAAGAAAAACCATAGCTATGCTAATACTCCATCAGATCCATCGTCTCCGAAACCTCGTTCCAAACCGCCTGCTTGCGCCGCTGATTCCCATTGTCAATCCCGAAGCGCGCATGCCAATCCCGAGTTCCCCGCAGGAGATGTTCGACCAGCTCGCGCAAGCAGCTCGCGCCGGAGTGGCCGAAGTGGAAAACTTCCAGTCTGAATGGCGCAGCCCGGAGATGGCCGCGATCTGGACTCGGGTAGATCACAAGTTAAACGAGAGCGGCGGCGAGTACCCGCCCACGACGGGCGTGTGGGAACGGGACTACGACAGCATCTCGAGAGCGCTCAGTAGGGAAGAGCGGACGGAGAAGGAGCAGAGAAGTCGGCTGGAAGAAGAGGAGGAAAAGAGTAGAGTGGTGGTGTTAGGAGAAGGAGGTGGCTGGAGGGAGGTCGTTGAGAAGTATAGGAAGCAGGATCTTCCGATAGCCATCCATGTCCCGCGTCCGGCTGACAGCAGCGGCCGCTTCGCTGTTGCGATCCCGAAGCTTTCGTTGCAGTTCTATGTCCTCCAGGGCCCGTCGTCCTATGACAGCCAAGGTCCGCAGGAATGGCAGGTGACGACAGTGCCGCGAGGGAACACGTCCAAGATGGAGGCGGAAATCCTGGAATGTATCAGGTCCAGAGACAGGAAATGGGACCTGCCCTATCTCCTGGTAAGTGTTTTCCATGCCATACATATATACATATTCCGTATACGAAATTTCCCGGATATGTTATGAAATCGCTTCACCAAAAAAAAAAAACACAACAAAACACATCCCGCCCGTCCCTAGCCCCACTTCAATTATTATATCTTCCATCTTCTCAAATCTCCCCACACCGCGCTAACGAACATCCAACACCGGGGGGCCGCCCTTTCGCCATGCAGGATATGCTGTGTTCCTACGCGGACGTTAAAAAGACCAGGTGCCTAAACTGCCACAGACTAACCGACGGCTGCGCCCAGCTGCCAACCATCCGAAAACCCACTCAAATCCAGTCAACGTCAACGTCAACTGATCATCATAAAGCAAAAGAAGAAGCCATGTTCACTTGGAATGCATACCACCCGGGTTGTCTTTGAGATGATGACCCCCAACCCCTCAGCCCTCAACCCGCAAATCACCCAGCTATATTTATATATATGTATATATTTCCCTCCTCCTTCTCCGCCCCTTCTTCCTGGCCTTTTTAACCCCCTGTGAACCCACTGCGATGTCCTTTTCTCAGCAAGTGAGAATTCTCCAGCCGTCGGCGATTTTTTCGTTATGCATGAAACGGACGTCGGTTCGTTCGTTAGTTAGTTAGTTATAACTAATGGGGAGAGACATCGGTTAAAAATAGACACCACCACGGCCCCCTTCTCCCCCTGCGCCACCATTAAAGGTGAAACATGATATTGGTAACTATATATATATCAGATCCTGCTTCCCTTCATTGTAGCACTAGGGCGCCGGTGAATTAGAACAAAGGCTATTTATATATGGATGTATGTATGTATGTAATATGTGTGTGCTTGGGCTGGCCATATCAACGAAAGACCAACCCGAACAAAATCTACATGCGAATTATTATTATTATTATTATTTTTAATTATTAAAAGTATGTACGGTAAAATGCACTGCGTATATATATATCTCTCATTCTCTCATCTCGCCTTTTCCAATGAAAATGAAACGGGGAGGAGAGCAGTTTAAAAAAAACAAAAATAGGGAAAAGAAAAGAAAAGCAAAATATAAAAAGAAAAAAAAAATTGAAAAAAAAAGCCCTCGCAAAATGAAAAAAAAAACAAGTACAGTCTTTAAATAATGGAACGATAATTATTGCTTTAATTGTAATACAGGAACAAACCAGATCATCATGATGGAAACGCAGAAACGAAGAAACGAAGAAACGAAGAAACGAAAACAACAGTTCCCAAAAAAGACCAACAGCAGCATGATGGATCACGAATACATGGAAAATGGAGACATCGCTAGATGATGAGATACCGGGGTAGAAGTACCTATATGCCAGAAGAAGGGGGGGGAATAAAGGATTTACTTATTAAAATTGAGTTGCTTGGTGCAAGAAGAAAAAAAGGCTTTGAGGTCCGGAGATGGGGAGTAGAAGAGTTAGGAAGGAAGGGGTATGGGTATGAGGGAGAAAAAAGAATCGAGAGCGGGAGCGCTTCTGTCTTCTTTCGCATTTTGTGCCTCTTTCTTTCTTTCTTTCTTTCGTTTACAAAGTACCAGCGCCCGTAACGAACCATGTGAATGAGAGAACCGTGACGGCCGCCATGCCGACGATGAATTTGAGAGCTTGCCGTTCCATGTCTGAGACGGCAGCGTTGCAGCCGGCACAGACGAAATCTGCCAGGGGTAAAAAACAGAGTTTGTCAAAAATTGGTAAAACTGCATACCGGAACCAAAAAAAAAAAAAAAAAAAACGAGTTGAAAGGGAGGAAGGGGATGAGGTAGGGTTGGTTAAAAGGGCTTCTTCCATGACGCGGAAGCAAAATGAGATTCACACGTACCATTGCGTGGAGTGTAGGGCTGAGGATAATACATCCCGAAGATCAACGGGCTTTGGGCACCCAAATGGCCAGGCTGAGGGATATCAGAGGGGTCCTTAGAACTGTCATAGACCATAAGCGTGTAATCTTCGGTGAGTAACGGCACATCGCTTGTCTGATAGCGACCGGTGTCCCACACGACTTGTGCGGTTTCTTGGACGCTCATATTGCCGGAGATGGTATATGCATGGGAGTTTTTGCTACAGGACGCAACCACTTCGACAGCGGACGGGGTGATGATCAGCGACGTGTAATTCCACTTGAATGTTGCTGTTGTCCCGATCTTGATATATGTCGCCGGATCGGTTATGGCTGGTTGGACCATTTTAATGCCACCGGCGGGGGCGTCAACGGGGACTTTCGTGGACTTGGGTTTTGATGTTTTGGTACCCTTGGTACCCGTTTCCTTTGCGCCAGTGGTTTTACCGGTGTTCTCGTTGGTATTTCCATCTGTTGCTGTTGAGTCCCCAGTCCCTGTGGGAGCGTCAGTGATAGTGGAATCCCCCGTTTTCTGGGGCTTATCCGTCGTGCCCTCTGAGAAGTGTTAGTTAGAAAGAGTATATATAGACCAGAAGTGAAAATTTCCCTTTTAGAGAAATAAACATGAACATAAAAATGATAAAATCGAATAAAACTCACCATTATCCTGCCGCCGTGCTAAGCCAATTGGCTGTGCTACAGCGTGTCTACCATCCCCCTGCGAGGCTCCCACATACGACACCAGCAGAATTAACGAGCAAAGAACGAAGATGTGGCTGACGGACCGCATATTGACTCGAGCGCTTGGAGCCTTTCTAGAACACCGAAAGCCAACTCAACAAGTGCAGACCCGACCGAAGGAAGGGGGAAAAAAAGAAAGAAAGAAAAAACAAGGCTGTATCGTCCCGTCCAGCAACCTAATATCCCAAACAATACACCAAAACCAAAACCAAGAAGAAGAAGAAGAAGAAGAGAAAAAAGAAGAGGTGTGAAAAAGACTTCTTCTTGAAACAATAGCGTGACGACGTTCGTTATCCGAAGCAGAGTAAATGATGCGAGTCGTCAGAATCCAGTGGTAGCGGTAAACTTCCCGGTGCGTGCCTTGTTTTTATTCTCCCTTCTCTTCTTTCATTCAATTCTTAGAGAGGAAAACGGGCGTTTGGAATCAGCGGGAGGAGGATAAGCGAACGAGACGATGTGTGTTGGCAGCTCGAAGCGAGTGTGGATGCTTTTGTTGTTGTTGAGGGCAAAAAAATCCAGGCGTCAACGGGCATGAGAAGTGTATTAAAAATATAATATTCTCAAAGGCTCCAACCGGGAAGAAGGGAAGAAGGGAAGAAGAGATGGTTCCACTCTCGCTCCAAAAAAGAGTAAGAAAAAAAAAGAAGAAGAAAAGAAGAAAAAAGACAAGGTAGGCGGGAAAAAAAAAAGCGAATGGAGTGGCCCAACAGTGCAGCGTTTAAAGATAGAGCAACAATGGCGAGAGGGAGACGCTGTTCATAATCCAAACGGCCAGAAGCGCAAAACTCGAATCGACGGTTAGCGAGAGACGACGATGCTGGAGAGCGAGAGGACGGGAGAATGGCGGGAGTGGAGGAGAGAGGGAAGACTGCGAGGCGTGGAGCAGGGATGGAAGGGATGGAAGGGAAGGATGGTCGTTGTCTTACGCGGGAGAAACAAGAGATCGAGGGGCGCTTAGGTAAGCAGTGCACGGGTTCCAGCCAGCCCTGGTTGGCTTTAACTAGCTTTAACTGGTTTAGTTAAGGGATATTTTTGGAGCTGCGGGAGAATGTCCAGCTGCATCGAGGAATGGAAAGGAAAGGGAAATGGAAAGGAAAATGGAAGAGAAATGGAGAAGCAAGCTAGAATACCTCCTCTTATTTCCAAAAACCCAAAACCAAAACCAACAACCAAATCAAACAAATAAACAGCGCTGGACACAGTAGCCCTCCAGGAGCATTTTTGGAGCTCACAAAAACAGACGTGGGTGATGTGACAAGGTTGGCATCACGTGATGAGCAGGTGAGACAGACCCCCGGCTGGGATACTTGCTGGCTTCGGTCAAAGGCGCATTTGGGCATCCATCGCGAGCTGCTGCTGGCGCTGCAGTGGCGGTGCGCCGGAGAGTGCATGGGGGGCTTGCATGTCAGCTTCGATCATTGTTGCCGCTGTCCTCGCGTGTTTCGTTCGTTGTTCCGATCGCTTGCGCGTTGCTGTACTCTATAAACATTTCAATTAAGGTGCTTATCATATAAACAACCTGGAAGTAGTTAACTATATTTTTGGCTTCTAAATCAAGTTCTAGACGATCTGATTATCGTTACACCCTCTCCTCCCATGTCAGACAAGGAGATTAAATGGTAAATGGCTTCCCGCAACTACATAGTACAGTCCATGGTATATATGTTGTAGTCGGATATTATTATTTACAAAAAAATCCCGTAGGATCATTCACCCCCCGCCGCATACTCCGGGCGAAGCACCCACTTCCCCCTCGCCCTCCCCCCGGTCTTCTCCAACACAGCAATAGTCCGCAGCATCTCCTTGAATTCCATCGTTGCGCGCGGCGTGTCGCAGAACCGATTAAAATGATCGATGAGATTCTGCGTGCGCACCGACCCTCCATGCGCCATGATATAATCGCGGATCATCTTCAGAAAGTCCTTGCCGCGCGGTCTGCTGCTGCTGCTGCTGCTGATACTGCTACTGCTTCCGAGATGGCTGCCGCCGTCGATTGCGCCTCCTGGGGTACTACCAGAACGAGGGGTGTTGGTGCCTGATGCATGGTTGCTGTTGCTCCAGCCGCTCCCGCCGCTCCCACCATTTCCGACGGTGCGATTCGTGAGATTGGCAAGGAGGCTGGCAGACGACGGGCCGCCAGTGGCTCTGCGTATGGCGCTGCCGCGCCCGAATGGGAGTGGAGACGCAACGGTTCCACGCGGCGGCTGCATCGTGTCCTCGGGCCTGCCTGCGACGCCGAACTGGCCGGTCCAGGTAGGTGTGCCAACCGGGATGGATTTGGCAAGTTCCCCTGCCCTGAGAAGCTCCCTGGCGGCCTCAGCTGCTACTTTTTTCGCCTCGGCCTCGATGATTTTAGGGTCTGCCTTTATGACTCGTTTGCCATTGATGATCTGCTCGTGCTCGAGCGCGGAGTGCACACCGGATCGGGCAAATATGCCTTCCATCAATCGCGCTTCTGAGTTGGGCGCTCTTGCACCATCGGTTTTGGAAGCATTTGGAGTTTCGGGAGCCTCGTGGAAACGTTCCAGAGAAGACACGCCTGTGACGCGGCTAATCTTTTCTTGTTCTTCACGGGCTGGGCCGGTAACGCCTGCTTCCGTGGCTGGGTTTGTTGTACCTTCGGGGCTTGCGATTTGAGCGCCCTTAGATTCTTGAAACGTGACCTCCACGTTTTTGAACAACTCGCTCGTCTCCGTCTCTGTCCGCCCATCGTTCCCAAGGGTAAACAGATCGTGCAAATCGCTCATCTGGAACGTCTGCCGCTGTTTCGGGTCCTTCAGGATCTTATTGGTCAAGAACTGCTTGAAGATTTGGCGATGGTAAATTTTCTCTTCAATGGTCCCCGCTGTCATAAGCCTGTATATGGTAACCTCCCGTTTTTGGCCCAATCTCCAAGCTCTCTCGCGGGCTTGGACATCCGTCGAAGGGTTCCAGTCCGGGTCATAGATGATCACCCGATCCGCCCCGGTCAAATTCACCCCGAGACCACCAACTTTGGTGGTCAGGAGGAAGACATGTATATCTGGATTATTATTAAACTCATCGACCATTTTTTGCCGAAATTTAATCGGCGTGTTTCCGTCCATCCTTTGGTATTTGAACCCACCCATCGATATTATGAATCGTTCAAGAATGTCTAGCATGATTCGATGTTGAGCGAATAGGAGCGTTTTGTGACCTGTATCCCTCCACAGCTCCAATAGCGACTTGACGACCTGCATTTTTCCGGACTTGGAGGCACTTCCGTAGTTATAGCTTGGCTTTTTAGATAACACCTTGTGCTCAGGGAGATCAGGGTGATTGCAAATCTTGCGGAGCATGTCAATGCCGTACAGAGCCTCTCGGCGACCTCGGAGGATCGACGACATCTCATTAGATCCCAAAAACGCTTCGTACGCCGATCTTTGTAATTTCGTCAATTTACAGAATAGCACCTGTTCGCTCTTCTTGGGAAGGTCGGCAGCGACGTCAATCTTAAACCGCTGAAGTAGATAAGGGCTGATGGCATCTTTGAGCGTTTCTGCGCATTTGGCCGCAGTTTGCACCTGCAGATTTGACGCATTGGCATACCCCCCCGTACGAATTGGAAATTCGAACTGGTTACGGAAATTGACCAGCGTGCCCAGTCGCATGGGGAAGGCGAAGTCAAACAGCGACCAAAGCTCAGTTAGGTTGTTCTGCATGGGCGTTCCGGAGAGAATGAGGCGATGTGCAGTGCGTAATTCCTTGCAGTGGATCGTAATAGCTGTGTCTGGATTCCGAATCTTGTGTCCCTCGTCAAGAATCGCGCAGCCCCAATCAACTGGAATTAGCAGGGAACGGTAGGTTTGCAACCCGGAATAAGTGGTCACAAGCACATGTCCTTCCTCCAAGACCCGTTTTAAAATCCGTTTCGCCGCCTTTTGTTCCTTTGGGAGTCTGCGAGGCTGATCTGGTTCCCATAGCTGGGATTCCAGACGTGCATCCGCAAAGCTCTCGCTTCGTAAATTCACCATACCACTCCCTGAACTGTGTAAAATTGACACTCGGAACGGGGCCCACCATCGATGAAATTCGTTTACCCACTGTTTCATGACGGTTGGGGGGCAGACAACAATGACAGACTTGGTCAACTTCTTGCTATGGTGCAGCCCAGCCAGGAAGGCAATGACTTGGATTGTTTTACCAAGGCCCATTTCATCACCGATTATTCCCCCTACCTTCTGTTGGTAGAGCTCCCAAAGCCATTGGACTCCCGTTTTCTGATAGTCGAATAAATATGGATAGATATCTCCTGGAATACGATAACCACCATCTAGCACTTTGTCAGGAACTTTTGGATGAGGCAGGAACCATTCCTTCTCATCGTCCGCAAGGATGCTGTCCCCTTCAATGGCCCCACGCGTCGAATCAGCCGCATCCGCAGTTTGAGTATCACCCTCATTCTGGGTACGCTTCCGTGCTGCTGACCTCCTATGTACCCAATCTTCCAGTCGAGATTGATATACCATCTCATCACCGTCATCCACACCCTCGAAATCCTCTGCGACCTTCTCTGTGGCCTTCTTTCCGGATTTTTTAGGCCGCCTCTTTCGTGATTTCCCCCCCGATGTGTCAGAGGCTAAATCCCACTCATCCGATAAGCTTTCTTCTCCGGACCCGAAGAAGACTCCAGAGTCAACATATTCCGCATCAGACGTCGGGGTTGATAGTCTTGATGAAGGATGAGATACGCCCACACCCTCGTCGCCCTTTTCAGCACCCAACTGCGCATGCGATCCTCTTTTCCGACGCTTCTGCGGACGCGAGAAGGGGAGATCAGGGGAATCACTTTCCGCTCTCGTCTCATCGTAATCGAACCCTGGACGCTGCAGGTTGCGATGGGAAGGTTCGCGATAAGACGCAGATTCTTGCAACGCAAGCTCCTGCTCTCGTTCATCCTCCGCATCGATCAAGGCTTCTCTTAGTGTGGCTGTACTGGAGCCCCCAAACCCTCCTCCCATTTTCGAGAACGGTGTGATTTTGCCCGTCCGTATCAGATAATCTCTTCGAGACTCATTTGGCAGTCTT